TGGCGAGTAAGATGTAAACAACCCTTTTATGGAGATTGACGCGCGCGTAGCATGTTCTGCGCGATGTCGCATTTATATGCATTTCTTTGAACATGAACCCTTTTTTATATAAAGATTGTATTTTATAAAGACAGGAGTGGAATTTCATGACTGTGTATTTATGTTATAGATGACGCCCCGGATCAATGGTGGAGGGTGGATCTTGAGGCTATCTACTGTTTGAAGAAAATTACAGTAATCAACGCTCAACAATGCAGCGCTTGCCGTAAGTATCTCTACAGATTTTTACAACTCACATCCGCCAAATATGCAATCAAAGTCTGTTCCCTGTTTTGGCCTAAAGCGGTGTTTCTCCCGGTTTCCATCAAAAGTCATGTATCAAGGCTTTCAACTCGAAATAAATCGTGAAAATACATTTTATTGAGAATCTACGTAAAAGGTGACGCAACTTTAGTCATTGAAATTAGCCGGATTGGCTGTTGTGAGCGTTCATACTTTGGCGCTATTTCCATGTTCGTATATGGGATGTCACCTCAGAAACATACTCCACTAATTCGAATGAACATACATTTTCCTTGCAAACTGCTAAGAAACGAATGTCAGGCGAATATATACACAATATAAAAACTTACAAAACGTCAACATTAATCATAAACACATATCAGTGAAGTATTTTGAATAAAATAAAGGGAGAAAACAAATTAGATTTCCCCCAAGACTTCACTAATGACTTACCGTAGCTGATGAGAGTCATGTGCTGTCCATTTTGCTGTCTACTTGGAAACTGCAATACCAAACTATACCATTAGGCCAAAAAAGTCTTCGGTTTCTTGTATGGAGCTTGCCCCAAAAGTGGTGCGGCGACGCGGCTTTTTTTGGTTGTTTTTTTTACTTTTTTTTCTTCAAATGTCGACTGATGACTGCAAATGGTGCCGACTAAATTAAGTGCAAAATATATGGGGGTCCAGAGAGGCCACGTAAAGCTTATACTCGATGGTAACCCCATCTAAAAACACGTTACAATTGTGCAGCAGCAGGATCCCAGTCAAACCAGTGAGTTCAGTGGTTTTTAGACATCATCTTAGCCTACATTGAAAAAAAAAACGAAAAAAAAAAAAAAAACTAGGCCTTAGCCTAGAGTGAGTCAAAATAATTATAAATATTTTACGGCTTGAAAATTGCAGCTCGACGATTAAGAGATGCCGTAGTGCGAGCTGGTTTGAGTTCGAACCACTCCCAGAACACAATGATAGGCTCTCCAATCACCGAAACGCAAGCCATAGGCATAGACATTGACTTCGTAGTGGACCCTGTCGTCTCCGCTCGATACGTCAGTGTGGATCGACCTAGACAAGACTTTCTGCACATAGCTGAAGTCATGGTTGAGGAAATCCAAGACACCGAGGAGACTTCAAGCGTTGCAGGTAATGTAATACGTATTTGCTTGATAAGATTTGTCACAATGATAAACACAATAATAAACAAATCAAAGCAAATGCCTTTGCCTTTTTTTGTAGATGTACTATAATTTGTATCACTCTAACAGACTAACTGCAATTATCTGCGCGACCATTAAAATTCGGTGTAGGTTTTACTCTTGTGGCCAACCCCGCTCGTCTTGGCCAGACTGGAGACGACAATGCAGTCATCCAAGCTTACAAGGGTCCTAACTATGCCTCCGCTGGGATAATCTTCGGCAGACAACTGACCACAGGAGGTAGCGATGTCGAACTACCAGCAGGATCGATGGTTGTGGATGATCCACAGACGATATGTAATGTTACACTTTCCATTACGTTACCTGCAACAGCTGGGATTGACCGAACGGGTGTGTTCTACGCTCAAGCTGTCAAGGATGAAATCGTTTACAGGATTCAAGCAATTGTATTGAACAAAGACGGTGAGCTGATACATAGGCTTACCGCCTTAAACTGAAATGCCATTTTACTTTCATTTGACTTCAAATCCATCTAGCTTTTGTACTAGTTATTATATCGAGTTGTAGTCCCATATTATGGACTAGAGATATTTCCTCTTCGTGAGTTACCATGGTTTTTACTGATTGTTGCTATGATTAATGATATCACTGCAGACAGCACTGTCCATACACGACCTACACAGCGAACACAGATTGCCAACATCGGAGAGTCGGTGGTACTTCAGATGGAGGATGTGAATTCACCTGCTAACAGCAACTACAGATGGAGGCATAATGGCGGTGACGTCATCACAGCATGGAACAACCAGCTCAGTGTGTCTATCAGTACTGTTGCTGTAGATGATGCAGGAATATACAGCTGCTTCGTCTCGGGCCAAGAAAGTCAACAACTTCATGGCTTCATGAGACTCACCGTGAGAGGTGTGTATTCAAAATGTCTGTCTATAAGTGCCTTAAAGGGAATATGCAACATTTGCAAACATAAAAAAACTACCAAATTATTACGAAAAACCTCACTGTATCCTGTAAAAGTATGGCACCCGGTGCGCTAGCAAATTCAAGAAAATGGGTATTTTTAAGCTGGTCGACCGACCAGCGTTTGAAAAAAAAATCTTGCTTTTTCTAATACTGCCCCCAATTTACCATATTTAGTGAGACCACATTTCAGTGTTTGCAATCCATTACACATCAATGAACGGGTACAGGCCAGCTAAACTAGTTCCCTGACCCAACAATTCCCCGACGTCTATAAATTACTTTGTTTCTCTTGAGTGGGTCAGGGAACCAGACTTCAGGAACACGATTGGTTTTTTTTGTTTGTTTGTTTTTTTCCCAGCATCTACGAACACAAAACTTCAAACAAGTCAGTGTAAAAATATTTACTATAAAAAACTTAACCCTCCCCCCAAAAAAACACATTCATGTTTTCTTAATATCATTTTTGCGATGATGCGATCATTCTATACAGGCTGTCCTGCGGGTGAGTGGGGCCAGGATTCATGTCAGAACACTTGTCGTCGATGCTACAATGGAGGTATCTGTGATGACAAGACGGGAACATGTATCTGCGCTCCAGGATTCAGCGGAGAAAACTGTCAACAAGGTAACATTTGTCATATCATTTTATTTTGTCTGTTGAACATTAATTTCTTTGTGTAGAACAACTTTGTTGGTTGGTTTAGATATAGTTTAATTGATATAATACGAGTATGTCATTGTCTTGCATGTAGTTTACGGGCGTCATGTCTTTGGCCAGAATGCTAGTCATACCTGTTCTGATAGCACTGATCCACACAACGACGCTTGCCGGGGTCGTATGTTTTGTCTTCCTGATCCTTACGGATGCTCCTGTGCTGCTGGGTATATGGGACTAGACTGCATGCAAGGTAAGGAATGAGCAAAATCTTGACAGTTATTTCTTGTCTGGAAGAATGCTCGTTGGTATCTATATACCAGGGATATGAAGTAACCAACAAATTAACTCATTATATTGCCCTAATTTTGCTGTTTCCTTGAGTTGGTATTTTTCGAAATCGGCGATGTTCTTGCCAAATATTCGCTGTTGAGCATTATTGATAGGGTACGCACTGGTTAAAAAAGTGTTACCATGTTGCCAACTTCTATTCCACTACGTTTTTTGTTTTCGCTAGAATGTACTGAAGGGAAGTATGGAGCCGACTGTAAGCAGACATGTCACTGTCCATCTGGAGATTCCTGCGAGAAGGATACGGGAGAATGTACTGGAAGTAAGAGCACGTAGATTTGTATTGCAATAAAGCTTGTCGAAGGAAGTGTGTACTTTGACAATGAGAAGCGAAAGTAACATTTTATAAATTTAGTTAATCGATATTTAACTTAACTTTTAAGGACACCATATTGCAATTTCAAATTCAATAGGATTGTAACTTATTATAAATGTGTATAGATACGTTTCATCCTTATAAAACAAACGTCCCTAATTTTATAGCATTTTATTCTTATTTTCAGGTTGCATACCACCATATTTTGGTAGTAACTGCCAGTATTCCAGTAAGTTCATTGAAACTTTTTTCATTAACAGAAACTCTTACCACTTATCTGTAATCTGAACAGATGTCAATCGGAAATACGTGGATGGGAAAGTTATGAACAAAACAACATAAGCATCTCAAATTTGAAGTACGCACGATTAGAAGTAGTCTATGTAATATAATGATATGTGAGCACATTTGCTGGGTAATTAGGCAAGACAACCGCCTCTAAGCTTGACCTCAAGATTTTGACCAATTAGCGGGCGCTTTTTATATCGGGTCTTCAATTCGGTCATTCACCCGTTGCGCGTCATAGATAAATGATACAAAAACTGTGTCACGCGCTCTGTATCATGTTACGCGATAATGCGCCCGGCTGTTGTTGTATCACAAAACACTGCATTCGAATTGATGAATCAAACCAATTAGTCCTGATTTGGGAATGAAATGACGTCATGATTTAATAAAGTCGACTCCGATTGGCTGGCTTGCGGCTTCCATATATCTGCATGTCTAGACATATTAGACGTTATACAGGAGACTCCTCCGTGGATCCGGGTGATACTCAGACTAGATTAAAAGAAGGTTGCGCAGATGATTATGACAAGGCACCCTCTCGAGGAAATTGATGAATAAAACAGCTAACAATTAAATGAAAACAAAAAAGAGTGGAAAGGAAAGAAGGGGCCACCTCTAACACCAAATAAAAAAAGATCCACAATATAACTTCATCAGTAAGAGTGCTTCAACTTTAACATTAACATGACGTTTGTGAAAACATTTTAACTAATTCCTGTAATAGTTACACCCTCTTTTTAATTGCAGCTGACCGTGGCGTTTTGGGACTAAAAGTGATTTCAGACGATCCTAATCAACTACAAGTTTCCTGGCAACCAGATGCATGTGTCTCTGGCTACATACTGGAGTATGCATTGGAAAACAGAGGCCAATGTGAAGAGATTGAATCTCCACAGCGGGTACCACTTCCAGGTCCACTCGATGGTCAAACTACCAGTCATGTCATCACTGGTTTGATATCTAGTTCAACCTATATGGTTTACATTCGCCCTCAGTACAATGATACGCAAGGACCTGAAGCGTCGACATCCGGAACCACACTCACACAAAGTGGTAAGTAGACTGAAGCATATCTTTCCTCACATCCATGATAATGTTACAGCTATTACAGTAACTTATGGTGTAAAAAAGCTATTAGTGCGACGAACTTATAGTGTGCACCAAACATCCGTTAATAGGATTGGCATACCTCTCGCATTAACACAATACGGGGCACACAGTGAAATGAAAACATCCACTTTGGGGTTGACTACCCGCTGTCTTGGGTCAGGGAACGTGCCTGCCCCTCAAAAAGTTGTTATTGTGCCACAAATGATGTGAAATCTGTGAAGACGATATTCCTTTACTAAAAAAAAATTCGTTCAGTTCACTTATTCTAAAGTGATAAGATTTTAAATTGTTAAAAGAGGGGGGAAATGGATCAGATTTTGAATTGCTAAGATTAAGAGAGAAAAAAATATCGGCGAGTCATCCTTTTCTCATGGAATCAGTGTCTTTTTTCATATTGAGCAGTTTCCCCTGTGGTGGTGACTTCTTACGACTCTGCCAGTATCACACTCAGCTGGCGTGAGCTCTACTGCGCCAACTACTCCGTCCAATATGCACTGCAAAACAAAGAGGGTTGCCTACCCATCAACCCGCTAAACTTCACCCAGCACTGCATGTGTTCTGGAACCACTTCTGCAATGATATCCGGTCTGTTCGCCAACTCGATGTACGAGTTACGAGTCACAGCTTATGTGGACGGAAGCTACGGTCCAATAACACAAACAAATGTGACAACTAGTACTAAAGGTAAGACTCCAGTCTGTGAGGCAAACTTCCAATACTGAGGTTAGTACCATGACCATGCCAATATGGATCAACGTACTGATTCATTTCTTGTATGACTTTGTCTTAAGAACCGTCTGCACCACCACAGCAAGTGACCGTCGCTTCAACGGCGAAACGTAGCCTGACTTTCTCCTGGAGTCAACCAGCGTGTGGAAGCCGAGGTGGCATCATCACAGGCTACTCATACCAGTTGTTTGATACCAAATCAAACACACCAGTTGCACAGTCTGTAACTTCAGATGAGTCGGTGACTATTGGGAGTTTGACACCTTTCAACGAGTACAGTTTTCAAGTCGTGGCACACACCAGTGCTGGAGCTGGACCATACAGTGACGATGTGGTAGCAAGAACACTTGAAGCAGGTACTAAGTTCAAGCAAAATTGCTCCGTTTTGAAACACGTAGTGGTTTTTCCTTATGACTATCACGTGACTTGGTTTTCGTTGGCTGAGTTTAAAGGTATGACAAATATGATGAAATATCTGCTGTCAATTAGAAAATATATACGAGTCATTTACATGTTAAATGGAGTATATGAATATTAAATTTACTATCTTGCATTGTAAGAATGCCGTATATGTGCTCTATTCTAAATTTTGACTCTTTTATATATCGAGCAGAGCCCACAGTTCCTCTACATGTTGTCATTCAAAACGTTGATGAAGTTTCGATCACTTTAAAGTGGTCAGAACCCGACCCTCCACAAGGAATCATCATCCATTACAACATTAGGTACTGGAGGAGTGGACAGTCAGGAAACCCAACGCCTATCAACGACGTGGTGCTGTTGATGCATGAGATAAATGGCCTTGAAACGAATGTGACATACAACATTCAGGTCTGTTCGACACTCTTGCTTGGTTTAACATGCATTTTTATAATCTGATTGTATTAAGATCCTTGCATAAACAGTAGGAAACATTCCAACCAACCCGACACAACTCGAAAGATTTTGTGGACTACAAATGTATTTCTTTACGTTGCTTAAATTGTATCAATTCGTTTCTTGTCGATTCCTCTGGAGAATGGAAAAAGGATTTGAGGGTTTGATATTTGTTTCCGTTTTTGTGGGTTTTTTTACAGGTGCAAGCTGAGACGTCGGTTGGTGAAGGGCCCTGGAGTGAGGAAGTGACTGCAGTAACCAGAATACGAGGTATTATTGGCTCATGTCGATCATTCTGTACTTTGGTAGATTTGATGTACATGTAGTTGGATACAGAACGAAGTCAGCCCGTATCCTCAACAGACTTTCACATACATAAAGGATCCGATAAACTAAACAATAGCTCTAAAGAATTCAGAGGCATCCTAATCGACAAATTGGCACTGAGCTGTACAGAGCCAAGTGATTGCTCAGTTGGTAAAAGCACCAGTGTGGTATTCTGAAACAGCCTCGGGCGAAATTCTTTTGGTTAAAAGATTCTAATTGAGTTTAGCAATTAAATGAAAATAAAAAAGAGTAGAAAGGAAAGAAGGGGCCACCTCTAACACCAAATAAAAAAGATCCACAATATAACTTCATCAGTAAAAGTGCTTTAACTTTAACATTAACATGACGTTTGTGAAAACATTTTAACTAATTCCTGTAATTGTTACACCCTCTTTTTAATTGCAGCTGACAATGGCGTTTTGGGACTAAAAGTGATTTCAGACGATCCTAATCAACTACAAGTTTCCTGGCAACCAGATGCATGTGTCTCTGGCTACATGCTGGAGTATGCATTGACGAACAGGGGCCAATGTGAAGAGATTGAATCTCCACAGCGGGTACCACTTCCAGGCCCACTCGATGGTCAAACTACCAGTCATGTCATCACTGGTTTGATATCTGGTTCAACCTATATGGTTTACATTCGCCCTCAGTACAATGATACGGAAGGACCTGAAGCGTCGACATCCGGAACCACACTCACACAAAGTGGTAAGTAGACTGAAGCATATCTTTCCTCTCATCCATGATAATGTTACAGCTATTACAGTAACTTATGGTGTAAAAAAGCTATTAGTGCGACGACCTTAGTGTGCACTAAACATCCGTTAATAGGATTGGCATACCTCTCGCATTAACACATTACGGGGCACACAGTGAAATGAAAATATCCACTTTGGGGTTGACTACCCGCTGTCTTGGGTCAGGGAACGTGCCTGCCCCTCAAAAAGTTGTTATTGTGCCACAAATGATGTGAAATCTGTGAAGACGTTATTCCTTTACTAAAAAAAAAAATTGTTCAGTTCCCTTATTCTAAAGTGATACAATTTTAAATTGTTAGAAGCGGGGGGAAATGGATCAGATTTTGAATTGCTAAGATTAAGAGAGAAAAAATTGTCGGCTTGCAACTCCAACATAAGCATGGAGAGTCATTCTCTCCTCATGGAATGTCTTTTTTTTTTTCATATTGAGCAGTTTCCCCTGTGGTGGTGACTTCTTACGATTCTGCCAGTATCACACTCAGCTGGCGTGAGCTCTACTGTGCCAACTACTCCGTCCAATATGCACTGACAAACAAAGAGGGTTGCCTACCCATCAACCCGCTAAACTTCACCCAGCACTGCATGTGTTCAGGAACCACTTCTGCAATGATATCCGGTCTGTTCGCCAACTCGAGGTACGAGTTACGAGTCACAGCTTATGTGAACGGAAGCTACGGTCCAATAACACAAACAAATGTGACAACTAGTACTAAAGGTAAGACTCCAGTCTGTGAGGCAAACTTTCAATACTGAGGTAAGTACCATGACCATGCCAATATGGATCAACGTACTGATTCATTTCTTGTATGACTTTGTCTTAAGAACCGTCTGCACCACCACAGGAAGTGACCGTCACTTCAACGGCGAAACGCAGCCTGACTTTCTCCTGGAGTCAGCCAGCGTGTGGAAGCCGAGGTGGCATCATCACAGGCTACTCATACCAGTTGTTTGATACCAAATCAAACACACAAGTTGCACAGTCTGTAACTTCTGATGAGTTGGTGACTATTGGGAGTTTGGCACCTTTCAACGAGTACAGTTTTCAAGTCGTGGCACACACCAGTGCTGGAGCTGGACCATACAGTGATGGTGTGGTAGGAAGAACACTTGAATCAGGTACAGAGTGAACCAAATGAACCAAATGCTCCATTTACATTTTTAAACGTCTGGTGTGTTTTCCGCTAACTAGAGTAACGTGACTTATTTTTTTTCGCTGAGTGAAAAGGTTTCGAACGTAAAGATATTGTTGATAAAATACCTGACACTCATTAAAAATATAGTGTCGTTTACATTTTAGTGGATTATGTGAATATTAAATTAAAGCTTGCCATAAAAATATTCCATATGTGCACTAACCTAAATGTTTACTCTTTATATATTGAGCAGAGCCCACAGTTCCTCTAAATATCGTCATTCAGAACGTTGATGACGTATCCATCACTCTGCAATGGTCAGAGCCCGACCCGCCACAAGGAATCGTCACCAATTACAACGTTAGGTACTGGAGGAATGGACAGTCAGGAAACCCAACGCCTATCAACGACGTGGTGCTGTTGATGCATGAGATAAATGGCCTTGAAACGAATGTGACATACAACATTCAGGTCTGTTCAACACTCTTGCTTGGTTATACATGCATTTTCATAATCTGATCCTTGCATAAACAGTAGGAAACATTCCAACCAACCCGACACGACTCGAAGGATTTTGTGGACTACAAATGTATTTCTTTACGTTGCTTAAATTGTATCAATTCGTTTCTTGTCGGTTCCTCTGGAGAATGGAAAAAGGATTTGAGGGTTTGATATTTGTTTCCGTTTTTTGTGGTTTTTTTTAACAGGTGCAAGCTGAGACGTCGGTTGGTGAAGGGCCCTGGAGTGAGGAAGTGACTGCAGTAACCAGAATACGAGGTATTATTGGCCCATGTCGATCATTCTGTACTTTGGTAGATTTGATGTACATGTAGTTGGATACAGAACGAAGTCAGCCCGTATCCTCAACAGGCTTTCACATACTTACAGAATCCGATTATCTGAACAATATAGCTCTAAAGAAATTCATAGGCGTCCTAATCGACAAATTGGCAGCTATACACACGCAAGTGATTGCTCAGTTGGTAAAAGCACCAGTGTGGTATTCTGAAACAGCCTCGGGCAAATTTCTTTTGGTTAAAAGATTCTAATTGAATTTAGCAGCTACAGCTTTAACGATGTTTAACGTTTTGTTTTCAGAACCTGGACCCATCCAGTATCTTCATTGGACAGACAGAACTGATTCCACAATCGCCTTGGACTGGGAGCCGCCGCTCAATCCGAATGGGCAAATACAAAGATACATAGTACGTCTTACTTCTCTTTAATAGAAAAGAGAAACAACGCTATAGGCAAGCCTAGTACAGCTGGTCCGAGAACACACAAAATCATATTCGCTTGATTCAGACTATTTTTTCCCTTACATCCTAATATAATCACTTTTATCGCCTATTTAACCTTTAGATATTATTTTGCTTAGGATACTAGAGCAACACTAAACCCCCTGACCATTACTTTTGATATATATTGAATACAAATCTAAATGTAGACATGTTGCAAATTTACAAATATACTGTAACTAATCAAGAAAAGCACAACCAAACCTTCTTTTTTGTACAATATTTAGATTTCTTTGTAAGACATTTAAACTAAAACTATCAAACAACCAAAATAAAATAAAAGCAAAACGAGATCAAAATTTAGATCACATTTTCACTGTTTCCATTTCAAAATGCCAAAGCTTGAATTCAAATTATGCGACATCAGACTCATTTTTGCAGAGCGGGTCACATATAAGCTTGATTGGTTTTCGTCAAAATTCTACATTTCAACATCACAGGTTGAATACCGAGCGACAGACAAACCTCATCAACCTGGTTTCACTGCACCTGACGAATGCGAAAGGAATGAAGTGGAGAGTCCGCCATTTGTGAAAGAAAATCTGGAGCCTGGTACAAAGTATGAGTTCAGAGTGGCAGCGGAGAATCAGTTGTTCATAGGAAGTGCTACAGTTTTGGAAGCATATACCAAACCACCGTCAGGTAAGGAAATATAATACATTTGTATTTCATTGTATATGCTTCGATGTCACGTCAGCATACAAATGTTACTTCATCCTAACATTGAAAGAACAAAAACTACTCTAAACAGTTTCAACCTCATGCCATTGGGACAAAAACTCTCAATCGCTGCTGAAGATTTTCTACGTGCGTGTTTTTTTTTTTAATATGACAGTTGAAACTGTCCCGCAACATTTCAACAATTTTCTAATTAAGATCATGCTACTTGAACATTAGATCTTCCCGCACCGCCTCAACCGATTTCATACCAAGGAGACGCCACAGATACTACCGTCACTATTGGTGTAACTACCGCAGTATCTAGTGATGACTTCATTGAGTGAGTACCATACAGGACTGCATTCAGTTTGTTTGAATTCATCGAGTGTTAATGGAATCAATCTGTTAATAAAATATACACGTTATGTAACACTTATTCATGCGAAAAGGAACTGATACTAATCATCCATGGAATTGTAACCAAACTTCCAACCGAGGCAAATGTTGTGCAATGTCGGAAGAAATCGTCGTTGTTAACATTAATTAATGCATGTATACATTAGTATAATACGTGTAGTAGTACAGTGTTCCCTTTGCTTAAAAAAACTGTATTGAAGTTTGCATATTTGTTTTTTCATGTGCTATCAATATTTATACAACACCTGAATAAATCCCCGTCATCTTATTGGTGAATTGTAGATCACGTGACAAATTATTATTCGGTATAATGCACGGTGCGACCATGCGTTATACCCATGCGTTATACCGTTTCACTTTGCGCTTGTTCCATGACGCGGTATTTGCGTGCAAAATGCATGCTGGTGGGCGCGTTCAGCGTAGCGTGTATTGTTCCAAAGAGCCAGCGCTACAGCATTGGGTTCAAACATTTTCGTGAAGGGGTAGTTCAACATCTTTAAAATCGAAATAAATTGTAGTTTATAAATTACCAATCAAATGACGAGAAATTATTCAGGTGTTGTATAAAACAAATAACGAATGTTTTACGTTCGTGCGATGGAAAGAATAATTTCATTCGGTGACAGATTGAATGTTCTATTCCACTCGGCTTCGCCTCGTGGAATAGAACATTCAATCTGTCACCTCATGAAATTATTCTTACCATCGCACTCACAAACATTCGTTATTTGTATAATAACAGGTATATTTGCAAGTAATAAATACTAGACCCATTTTGAGCTATTGTATAAAATATATAACAAATTGATTCTGTCATCCCTTTTTTGTTTACTGCAGATCGTACGTTGTTCATGTCAAGAAGACCAGGTCTTCATCAGTGACCAGGAGAGATGTTCTTATTCCAAGCCATTTCGAGGATTCCCCAAATGACTACATAGCAGCGGAACTCCCCAAAGGGGGCGTGCCCGACAAATTTGTAGTGGGGGACACCAAAATGTACGGTGGATACTTTAACGCTCCGCTGCAGACGGGTGCTGTGTACAACATTCGTGTTGGGTCTGTCAGTAAGGGGAACGAATCGGTAGGCACACGTGTTTCTAATTGCAGATTTTATTTTTGTAACATTAAGATAAATATATTGTGTTCAAAATTACACCTTCCTCCCTCAAAATGAAACATGAAGCATTCATTAGTTCATTTAGGTCGTCTTCAAAAATACAAACATTTACCAAGACTTCCTTTCACACTGACGTTTTTCAGGTTGAGGAATAAATGGGATGTATTAGCCTAGAGACTAGCTGTGTTTGTTGTTTTAAAATTACATATCATTTAAACTATTGCAAAAAAAAATGTTTCGATCAAACTCATAACTCTCAGCAACTACCTTTTTGTTTCGTTTACAGGAGGCCAATGTGGAATTTTCGGACCCACTTACAGTCACAGGTAAGGTTTGAATGCTGCCGTTAATAGTAATTCCTTGTGTACGATGGGCAACTTTGAAACTTATTGTATTCTTTTTTTAGTGCAAGAATCAAGTCCTGGACCGAACATTGCTGCTATAGCTCTTGGGGTGGGTTTGTCTACCCTCATTTTGATTGGCGTTGTTGCATTCATCTTGTGGAAAAAATGTAGTGCAGCTCGCTCGCAGCAAAGTGCTACAGATGAACTGGTAAGTCGTAAGCATTATTATCTAATACAATAACGGTTAGGAAACTACATTGTACGGATAAACTGTCCTTCAATATTATGCTGATCCCACTATGTAACCCTGGAATCTCCATTATATTGAAGGAGACTTTACAGGTCTAGGATATGTGCTTTATTCGTGTTAACACTGAGAGGTGGTTTGGAGTTTTTTCCAGCGTTATAAGCTTTGCTTTTCTTTATGTTTTATCTATAATTGATAAGATTCTCACCGAAAACCCCGAACCTAAACTCAAGAAAATTGAGTCACTTAATGAGGACAACACCGACCCCATTGTCTACGAGAATATTGGGATTCTTCCAAGCTGGGCGGCTAAACTGGAAATCAAACGGGGAAATTTGATCATCGATGATGAGATTCTTGGTAAGGGTAACTTTGGCGAGGTACGGGCAGGAGGCGTGAAGATTAAAGGGAAAGTCACCAAAGCAGCCATCAAAACAATGAAAGGTAAGGCAGTCTGAAATGTTGAATCAATAAAAAACTTTCCACTTTTTCTTCATATCAAAAATTGAGACACACGTGAATTCTTTGTATTATTTGCACATTTAATGGCCAAACTATTTCTAATCACCGAAGTTGCGCAAACTATCTTACCTTTTAACTATTGAAAAGAAAAGAATAATTAATCAAAAACATTCACTGACACGAAAGATAATTGATTCCTATTAAAATTGATTGAAAAGGCTGTGGATCTAATAATTGTATTTGTGAATTTATAGGAAATGCTTGCGAATCTGCATGGGAAGACTTCATAAAGGAGTTACGGACAATGGCAGGCATAGAGCCCCATCCTAATGTCGTTGGTCTACTGGGTGCATGCATGCACGAAGGTATTCATTCAACCTACCTAAATCTGTTTCAGAAATTAGTCTTACAATTTTTGTAGACAGTTGTGCCATCAAACTTAAAAGTTCCAAATTATTCTAGAGTTAATTTAAGCTTTTATTTTCAAGGTTAAAACTGTATTCATGTGTACAAAAGTCTAAGATTTTGTTTGAAAGCGATTCTGTACGTGGCGCTTGAGTTTCTACCTAATGGCAACCTCCGTGATTATCTGAGGAGTACTCGGCCTAAGCAGCAAGGGGCAGCTGGCTCTCAAGATGATGTGTCGCCGCTGACTTCCTCCATGCTGCTCAAGTTTGGTCTGGATGTGGCCAAAGGAATGGAACATCTGTCCAACACGGGGGCAAGTCAGAAACTGTATTAATGATGTATTTGTTAAAGATTAATGCACTGCAAGAAATGCCCGGTAAATCTTGGATGTGTAATTTTTCAAAATTATCATGGAGTTCTCCGACACCTGCAAATGTGAAGTTATCGACGCAATTGTTGGTTTCTAATAAAGTTGCTGTTAAAGTTTGCATTGATAAATACATTTTGCATATTTTTGTTTGTTTAGATAATCCACTGTGACTTGGCAGCACGGAACATCCTTCTCTCTGAAGATCTGACCGCCAAAGTGTCTGACTTTGGCCTTTCCAGAGGAGAAGACATCCATGTCCAGAAATCTTCGGTAAAAAACCCAGAATGTGTGGTGTTTTTTTTTTGATTGACCCATTATTTTGGACCTCCAAACAATAGACCGTTTGAAAAAAAAATTGAACTTAAAGATGTATAAGACATTGTAGATGCAGAAAACCTTCAAACTGTCAGTTTTTTTACTTTGTTCATTAGACCAGGTTTCCCATTCGCTGGTTGGCCATCGAATCTTTGAGGCGTCGTGTCTACCAGTCAAAAAGCGATGTGTAAGTTAAAATTGACCATTGGCAGTAAAAAAAAGAAAACAGAAAACTGTCTTAATTAAACAGCATGGGTTACACTGTGAGTATTATACATACACCTAATTCATGACCTACGCCGAGACTTAGACTTGATTATTTTAAAGAAGAATTGTTTTCTGCCTTTTCTGGTTTTCTCTGCATTATGTGCATTCCTACCATCCAGGTGGTCCTTTGGCATCTTACTGTGGGAGATCGTTACGTACGGTGAGTTCTTCATTTCGTATCTTGCCTTGGTATTCCCTATTCTTAATTTTTATGTTTAAGAGCATAAACTATCTGAAGTCTACATTTCATAGCAAAACAATATTTAGCAGAACACAGTTTGCTTGCATCGCCGTTTATTTTCTAAACTTGAAAATATAGAATAATGGAATATAAGTAGCTATAATTTAAAGCACGTCTGCTTCTGTATTGAGCAAGTGTTAGCCCAAAACCTTTACTTATTAAAAAGATAAAGATTATTTGCAGGTAATAATGTATTGATTTCCGACACCGAATTAATCATTTTAGGATCCACTCCGTACGCTGGTATTGAGAGCATGTCACTGGTCGAAAGACTGCTGGATGGATACCGCATGCCCAAGCCGGACAACTGCGCCGATGAAATGTAAGGGACAACATACTACTCTTCTTTATCCGTATTGAAACTGATTTTGACTTTAATTACAATAAAATGTTCGTAAATATTTCACAAGCTTGTCTGTTGCTGCCATCTTTTATATGGCTCATTTCTTATTATCTGTTTGACTTGGTCATTTGCAACGTCTTAGATTAATAGTGTGATATCATTTTTTTCCTCGATATGTTTTAAAGTTACGATGTGATGTTGAAGTGCTGGCAGCAGCAACCTAGCGACCGACCCAGTTTCAGCAAACTGGTCGAAATTCTGGAGGAAATGACCTGCAATCCGGATGCAAATGTACGTATAAATGGGAACCTAATGCCAAATGTGCGCATCGTTCACAGTAACCCTATAGTAAAAGGGCCGGGGGCGCCGGGGGCGGAATCCACCCCCCCCCCTTCGACTTTTTCCGCGATAGCCTTCAAAACAATTTTCCGCGACCCGAGCTGTTTTTAGCCTCGAGCCTTGCGCATCTTTTGAAACTAAAAATATAAAAATCGAACCACGGGTTGCCGTGCAGCGAAAACTTTTCCGGGACTACGCGCCGTGAAAACTGAATTTTCCCATATTTGTTGTGTACACATGCAGAATTACCATTCGTACATATGAATAATTGATTAGCCATAATTTCAAAAACCCTTTGATCTATAGTCATACAATTTCTTGGGTATGTTTATGATGAGTTGCTCTATGCATGTACCGAGTTTCAAAATTTGTCGTCACTCGATGGCCGAGATCTTAGGGGATCCTCCCCCCCCCCCCCCGGCTGAGAGATGGTCAAAATAACCCGGCCCTCTTATAGGGTTAAAACGCAGTGTGCCGAAAATCATTACTCAAATGTTTCTTTGTTGACCTCAGTTTCGAATCAATCTCTTTTAGTACTCGATACTCTACAGATTTGTCAAAAAGATTCTGTAATATATCTTTTCAAATTGTTTTACTTGCAACGTAACATTTTTGAATGATTAATTTGAATGATTATATCCTGGTGTCTACAGTGATCCATTTTAGTACTTTAACCTTGATTTATTACAGGATTACTTGTCACCGACTGTCTGCGAGAATTTCACCATCAAGCCTGAGTTTGACGATAACTAGATGAATGTAATGATCGCTCACGTGCCAGCTCAGCCAATCATCGCCCCTTGTTGTCGTAACCCTAGAAATTGAGCGTATTAATGAGTACATTATGTGTAATGTAACATTATTCTAGTATTTGGAATAAATTGTTATGTAGTTATAAAATTCGGTATAGAAAAAATAATGTAAGATGTACCCATACAAATGATTTTATGCGAAACTGTGAGTCTAATTGTACTTGTAAGATGAATCGCCATACTTAACATTCCAATTTGATGTCTGGGTTTAAACATTTCGATCCAACGAAAATCCAACATCATAAACTTTTTTACGATAAACAAGCAAAGTCCCAATTTTGATTCTCTCGGAACCTCTTTGTTATTGTCTTAAACTCAAAATAGAATTACTCAGCAATATTCCAAGTTATTGTCTGCAATGAATGGGAGATTTGCGGTAACACCATGTGAATGATATCTCTCTGTGTGTTGTGTGGTTCTGAGAAGAACCTTTTGGTTATTGTCTTATACTCAGAATAGAATTACTCAGTTATATTCCAAGTTATTGTCTTCAATGAATGGGAGATTGGCGGTAATACCATGTGAATGATATCTCTCTGTGAGTTGTGTGGTTCTGAGAAGAACCTCTTGGTTATTGTCTTATACTCAGAATACAATTACTCAGTTATACTCAAAGTTATTGTCTTTAATGAATGGGAGATTGGCGGTAACACCATGTGAATGATATCTCTCTGTGAGTTGTGTTGTTATGAGAAGAACCAGTTGGTTATTAAGAATAGAATTACTCAGTTATTTTCCAAGTTATTGTCTTTAATGAATGGGAGATTGGCGGTAACACCATGTTAATGATGTCTCTCGTTTAGTTGTGTTGTTCTGACATGAACCTCTTGGTTTATTGTCTAAAACTCAGAATAGTATTTACTCAGATATTCCAAGTTATTATCTTCAATGAATGGGAGATTTGCGGTAACACCATGTGAATGATATCTCGCTGTGAGTTGTGCGGTTCTGAGAAGAACCTCTTGGTTATAGTCTTAAACTCATAATAGAATTACTCAGTGATATCCCAAGTTATTGTCTTTAATGAATGGGGGATTGGCGGTAATACCATGTGAATGATGTCTCTCTTTGAGTTGTGTTATTCTGAGAAGAACCTCTTGGTTATTGTCTTATACTCAGAATACAATTACTCAGTTACACTCAAAGTTATCGTCTTCAATGAATGGGGGATTGGCGGTAATACCATCATGGGCGTCGCGAGGGGGGCAAGGGGGGCACTTGCCCCCCCCCCCCCGGAAAACCAAAATAAATAAAAAAAGAAGAAGAAGAAGAAAAAAAAGAGGGAAAAAAAGAAAAAGAGGCGCGAAGACATATTGGTGTAAATTTAATGGGTTGGGGGGGTGCAAAATGTCCCTGCCCCCTCTAAAACTGATAAATCGAGAATGTGTTGAGAAATACAGGCATTTTTTGGCAAAAAAAATGTTTGCCCCCCTCTAGAAAAAATCCTGGCGACGCCCATGAATACCATGTGAATGATATCTCTCTGTGAGTTGTGTGGTTCTAAGAAAATCCTCTTTGTTATTGTCTTAAACTCATAATAGAATTACTCAGTTATATTCCAAGTTATTTTCTTTCATGAATGGGCGATTGGCAGTGACACCATGTGAATGATATCTCTCAGTGAGTTGTGTTGTTCTGAGAAGAACCAGTTGGTTATTAAGAATAGAATTACTCAGTTATATTCCAAGTTATTGTCTATAATGGATGGGCGATTGGCAGTGACACCATGTGAATGATATCTCTCAGTGAGTTGTGTTGTTCTGAGAAGAACCAGTTGGTTATTAAGAATAGAATTACTCAGTTATATTTAAACTTATTGTCTTTAATGAATGGGAGATTGGCGGTAACACCATGTTAATGATGTCTCTCTGTGAGTTGTGTTGTTCTGAGAAGAACCAGTTGGTTATTGTCTTATACTCAGAATATAATTACTCAGTTATATTCCAAGTTATTGTCTTCAATAAATGTAAGATTTGTGGTAACATAATGTAAATGATATCTCTCTTTGAGTTGTGTTGTTCTGAGAAGAACCTCTTAGTTTATTGTCTGATTCTCAGAATATAATTAATAAGATATATTCCATGTGTAATGTATATAGCGATGGATGTATTATCTTCTTACATAATATTAAAGCAAATTCGTAGGAAATAATACCGAGAACAAACAATTCATGAATTGAGACGAAGAATTGTTTTCTCTTAAATCTGATAAACCTCAGGGGATCACCGGGGAGCGGAGTTGGGAGGACACTAACTTGAAGACTTCTGAAGTATTTGTCAAGACTCAGACGGGTTTGCTTGTGACCACATTTAGTTAATTTGTCTCCCATTTTTACATAGCTTTCTACCTTGAGGTCTTAGACAAACCACCTCTTGAAGGGACAACCCGTTCTTTATTACAAACTTGTTTTGTAAAGCCACTTAATTGTGTCGTGCGTTTACTACACTAATCAGATTACTCAGAAGTTAGTCGAGTAGATTTATTTTTAAAAAAAGGTTGCGTAAAAGATGGTAAGTTAACCCAAATCGTACTAAGCTACTCAGTCTGACGTGAACTGAAGTCAGGACAAGTCAGAAAGTTTTTTTCTTTTATCACGAGCAGTACGTACGATTCTAAAAGATGCCAACTAGATAAGTCACGCCATCGGGCCCTGACAATGGTCACCGTGGCAAAGTTGTTTGTGCTTGCCAGGAATTGTAGGCACTTTTTCATTCGATCTTGCAATAGGGGCAATTGCGAACACCTTTTCTCTGACCTGATTTTTTCTTTTTTTTTCTTTTCATTTTAAGGTTTCGTTGACGTTAACTTTGCAAATAGCAAGGTTCTTTCCGCGGTTGCACACATCCCCAGCCTAATAGAAATTGGACTGGCTGTCATTAAAACCAGTCATGCTTTACGCCAATTCCAGTGTACTTTCGTTTTAACAACAAAAGAAAGCTATTCATGCTTTAACCTCTATTTTTGCCAGTCCCTGTATCAAACAAATAGCGCTGTAAATATAGCTAGTGCACATTGTTTGTCGTGTTAGAACGCAGCCTTGCAGTAATAGTGTGTCATATATAATTTAACAGTCCCCGATGCTACAGGATACCAGTCAAGTGACCTGCTGGGTTTTTTTTCAGCAGATGGTCGACAAGTCAAGCCAAAACCACTGTAAAGTGATTGTACATTGAAGTTTGAATGGATATTGTGCCTGTGAACAAGTTGTTGCAAAAGTAGGCTGTACTGAATACAACCATTACTACAGTGTAAAGTCTGGTCGTTCATATTATATACTTTCATTTTAATTGGCAAGACACCATACCATAAAATGACCAAAATGACACCATACCAGTGTCTTGTGCAATACACACGAAAGTTCATGTAGCACTGTAGACTGCAAGACAAAATTGGAATAGGCTGATAAGAACTGTAGGACTGCAAAAGTTTTATTCAGCCCGCCTTGTGAACATTTTACAAGGGATAAAATCAAACATGGCGTCTCAAGGTGGAGTTTGCCGACACTATACCGTCTTTCTATTGCTTCTGTTTCTGGTCTTCACTCACAAAGGAGGTAAGTTTTGAAAAACAAATGTCACTTGAAATTAAAACACACCTAAAAAAAAAACCAGAATAAAACATTGGCGACGGGTTGGATGTAGTCATAATTGTGATTATAACGACCATATGTTATTGCCACTACAGGAGTGTGACAGATTAGAATGAAACACAATGTCTTGTTTTATAGGAAAGGTACACATGATAAAAGAAATTTGTTCAGTGATATGTAAAAAGCACTTGTGATTTAGCGGTAGACTCGCGTAAGAATCGCATCAACGCAGCTTGTGAATTATTGTCCAATAACATGATATACAAATGGACGCGGAGCGCGCAAAATCTGAGACAAACAAAACGTAGCCTGTACAAAAACTCCATAGGGTTGTCTAAGGGGCGTAGCTAACTCGCAAACGGCGAAAGGTCAATTCGGTAACTTTCCTTAAAAGGGAAGATACAACAATTGCAAACATCAAAAAACAAAATGATCAAATTGTCATAGAATATCTTAATGGATTGTTAGGGAATGACAGTCCAAAGCATTCTGTAAAATCGTGGCTCCTGGCGTGCTGATCGACGCTTTCAAGAAAACTTGTATTTTTCCAACGCTGGTCGGCCGACCAGTTTTGGGGGAAAAACTGTTTTTTTTCAAAAAACTGCTCCTATAAGTTTTTCATATTTAGTTATTCCACATTTTCTTTGCAATTGATTACATACCTACATGTAGGAAGGGGTACAAGCCTGCTGGACTGATTCTCTGACCTTATAATTCCCCACAGTCTATAAAGTGCTTCGTTTCATCTTAAGTTGGGTCAGGGAACAAGACTACAAGAAATTTTTTTCCCCCAGCATCTCCGAACCCCAAAACGTGAAGCTAGTCAGTTTAACAATATTTGCTATGGTACTAATCCTCCAAATCCATTTATTTCTGAAAATTGCAGCAAAAGCAAATGTACATTCCCTTTAAATGACGAAATGCCATGCAATTGCGAACTAGTAGTAGCCTAAGTATTTGTAATTAAATGGCCTAAACCAAGTCTCGGTATCATCCGTCTGTCGTGGCCATCATCTTATAGCAAACGTGTGTGTAACGTGTGCGTTCAAATTGTATTGTTATACCACGGTAATAGATTGTGATTATTTATTGGTCGAAAACCTAGCACGTGATGTGCCACAAACACGCATGTACTGTGTCAGGGGCGTATACCCCATGGTACATGAGAGATGTACCCCACAGGGTACATTACCTTGATCGTCCGCACTGTTAAAAGTGTTGTTTCCACCGGCTTGTATAATATAAATAGCCCGGGTAAGAGGATTCAGGCAGCGCGCTCACGCGCGTACGCATGTGGGATGGACACGCGCGCATTATGTGGGATGAACTAACATAGACCATGGTCGCAGCTGTGATTGGTACACAATTAAATGGAGCAAGGATTAAAGCCAGAGTCCATCATTTGCAGCAATCCGAAAAGTAACTGACGTAATTATTGTTGAAAAACATACTTAGTTGAAAGATAGTAAGGGGACTAAACTCCCTGTGAAATTATTCTTTTGCTATAATTCGTCGGATCAGTATACAAATATAACATGGTTTGAGGGTGGACAGTCGATATTCGCTCCCCGAGGTATTGGAAGTTGACAAACTAGTTCCCGAGGCGAAGCCGAGGGAACTAGTTTGTCAACTTCCAATACCGAGGGGAGCTAATATCGACTGTCCATCCGAAATAAACCATGTTATATTTGTTTAAATATACCTCATACATATTCAGTTGACGATTTTTTTTTATATATATGCACCTAAAACAAAATTCGGGGAAACTTGTACGTCTCACCAAAAGAACATTTTGGTTGCTCAACTTCAATTACTAGTTCGATTCGTTTGCAATATAATACAGTTACTACAGTTGTAAATACAGTTGTTTGTGTACAATTTTCTTTTGTAAACTTTCTCCAGTACGGCATCATTGAGCTCTGGAAATTAACATTGACGCGAACCGTGCAACCATGCATGGCGCTCCCTCCTGGGCGATGTTCGCGCGTGCGTACTGCACCCGTGCGGCAGTTCCTCGATTGCTCTGTAAAGCGCATGCGTAGTAGACTGTCGCACGGGTAACCCATACGACAGTCTACTACGCACGCGTATTTACCCTGTGAGTGAATCCTCGCGCGCGCGTTTGGTAAACAGCAAGAATAACATCTGGCACGTGATGGTGAATTGCCCAGTGAGAGTTCGGCTCTCGATCATGAATATGTATGAGGTATAGTAATGCGCGACATCGCACCGGCTCAGTGAGAACGTGTCTCGGACGCTGAATTCAGGCCCAATTCAAAACATGATTGCCTGCCGTGATTGGGGTCAATGGGTTTTGTACACCCTCGGGTGCAAATGGCACCCTCGGTTTCGCCTTTGGTGCCATTTGCACCCCGTTCGGGCATGCAAAACACCATGATGGACCTCATCACAACAGGCAAGAATTGTATACTGTTTTAAGTTGCACAATAGCAGCTCAACAAAATCATCATGTCTCTCCGTTAGTTAATTAGTTAGTTAGTTAGTTAGTAACAAACGTTGACAAATGTCTATTGCTCCTACATATTTTGATCGATTTCAACCGATCAGTAGCCCAGCCCCAACATGTCACATGACCAAACAGAGGTCAAATGTCATCATGGGATCACTGGAATCAAACCTGATTTTTACTCAAAACACCACTCCTTCCAGAAATTACATGGCACGATCACCAGACTCGTGCATGAACACGAATTCGTTGGCCCGCAGCTTCCGAGACATTTCCGATCGAGCTTGTTTTGCCACTCAGCTCTGAATTCCCTTTCCACATTGAGTTTCAATGTTGCATTAATGCACTGATTTCAAACGAAAAATTGATAGCCCTGACTGACGCGATTGTTACACGCTACACCTGCCAGCAAGTTAAGCGAGAAATTGTGTAAGCCTACATGCAGTGTCGCTAAACCTTTTTGTTTACCTTTATTATACTTGCTGTTTAACCCAAGTGAACAATTTTAGTGTCATTGCATTTAGTCCAAAATTCAAAAAATGAGGCGTCCGGAGATTCGGCACGAAATCGCCCTAGTGCTTCCTAATGTGTCGACAATCCCAAATGAACATTTAAGAATTTTTGTAAACGTTATTATCTTCACTCATATATTCAGTTTAATTTTAGTCATAACATTTATTTTATTTTATTTTTGGAGGGGGCGAATTTTAAAAGGATTCACAGCACACTTCAAAATTAAATCGGAAAATCGAGCCGGGAAAATCGAGCCGAGGGTAACTGAATGTAAAGAACACGTTTTGTGATTTAGTAGGTACAATGTTTGCTCTGAAAAGACACTGGAGACAACGGGAAGTGACATGTTAGGGCAATTCAACAATAATGGAATAAAGACTGCAATTAATTATTCTGTTTACAATTATTTTAAACACAGGTTTGGCCCTAAACCTGCGGAACAAGCCAACTGCTCAGAGTACAGATTATGCAAGTAATTTTCGATCCGGGAAGGCAGTAGACGGCGATCGAGGAACCCTCGCACACACACGTAAGCAACTTCGTTTGTAGCATGAGTATCTCTCATTTTGTTATTAAAAAGATTTGTATGCTCTGGCAGGAGCTTCTACTTCGGCAGGCTAGTAAAGTAATTTACCTAAATTTGAATGCGTGAAACATATCACCTGATTGAATAATAATATCTTACGGGCTGCTAAGCCAGTCTGGCTGGACGTTTTGGCGAAGATTTTCAGATTCTTCTTCACTTGCGCGCATTTGCTCAGAATGACCTCACTACATTGCTGCCATCCGTGTGAATTCAAATATGAGGAAATTCATTTTCAAGGTAAACAAAAGCAAACAAAGGCAATTAGCATTTTAATCGCGAATGATACGCATTTCAATGAACATGGACGTTTTTCATTAAAAACAAAAGTGTATTTCTGAGAGGAATGTCATGATTGTATATTTGATGTTATAGTTGAAGCCCCGAATCAATGGTGGAGGGTGGACCTTGAGGCTAACTACTGCTTGACGAAAATTACAGTCGTCAACAGAAATGACGTAGAAATATGTCCCCTCTGTCGTAAGTATTCTTATTTCTCAACCAACCTGGGCAAAATTAACAATCATTTTTTTTTGCGCAGTTTCCATGCAGTTGTTTTTTTCCAATGTCTTGAAACCAGGCTTTTATTTAGAATTTACGTAAAACAACGTTCACCCTTTTGTTTAGCCGGATTGGCAATGAACTTGACTCATTTCAATCTTCATATATTGAATGCCACTTTATCTGACACTCATTCGTAAAATTATTAAGAAAATGAACTTGGATTTCATAACTTCGAATTGCTGAGAAACGAACGTCAGACGAATAAGTATAAAATCAAACGTCCAAACATAAACAAATGTCAGTAACAAGTATGGGCATACCTGGAAGATTTAATACCAAACTACACCATAGAAGCGAGTCCAAATAATTATCATTATTTTATGGCTTTCAAATCTCAGCCCTGCGATTGGAAGAGGCTGTAGTGCGAGCTGGTTTGAGTTCAGATATTTACCAGAACACTCCGATTGGAGATCCAGTCACGCGTGCCCAAGCCGAAGGCCTAGACATTGACTTCATAGTGGACCCCGTCGTCTTCGCTCGGTACGTCAGTGTGGAACTGAATAAAACAGAGTATCTTGCTCTGGCTGAAGTCATGGTGGAGGTAATCCAAGACAATCAGGAGGCGCCTACTGTTGCAAGTAAGACGGATAACACAAAATTATAGTGAAAGTTATGATGAGTCGCATCTAGTTTTCATTCCATCAGTTTGCCTCTGAAGAAGAACTTGTTAAGTTCGCAACGTCAGGCCGCATTATTTTTTTTTTAGATTTGTATATTATTTCAGGTCAATCCAAGTGAATAGGCAGTGAAATTGTACAAACTATTAATTTGGCGATAAATAATAATAATAGAAAGAGTACCTTTGTTTAATTAATTTTTGAGAATTATGTTGCAATTAATCCTATTTAATTTAGGGTCTTAGCCAATCAAACTTGTAGTCATTTTTTGTTTAATACATTTGGACAACATGTATTTCTACAATAACAACCGTTTACTGCAAGGTCAGTGAATCAACGGAACTCAGTTTATGTGAATGTAAATAATTCAAGCTGATAGTAGAAACTCTGAATTAACGAAGCTATAAAGCGTAAGATTTGTTAAAGTCTTTGACATTTGTATACCCCAATGACGATATCGGAAGATTGATTATACAACATACATTTGAAACTTTAACGGAATTATGGGGGAAGAACCCGATTGTCTCCCAGACTTGTAATGACATTCCGAGAAGACAGCCAGTTAGAATTATAGTTTTGTCATTTCATCTATCCAGAAGGCGGCGTGGATTTTACTCTTGTTGCTAATCCTGCTCGGCTTGGAGCAACAGGCAACAATGGTGCATACTTGGGAGCCTTCAAAAGTCCAACAGACATCGCCGCTGCTGTCTCATTCGGTCGCCAATTGACGACAGGAGGGAGCAATGACAACCTCCCTACAGGATCGTATGAGAGGAATGGTGGTGCCCAATTGGGATGTACAGGCAGGTATCTTAGCTTACCACAAGATGGTGGGATTGACAGAACGGGTGTCTTCTACGGCACTGCAGCTTTAAACGGCATGGCTACCACGATACGCACAGTGATTCTACGCAAAGACGGTAACCTTTGCTTTCATTTAAAAGGGCTCATGAAGTGAATATGTATTTCTTAGGAACTTATTTTGTGCTACTTTCTAATCCTCTTAAGTGCATGAAAACTAAGTGACATCCACTTTTTGTTAATTTTACTGAAAGTGCACTTCTTTAAGCACTTAAATTGCAAATTGTCTTCAGTCATCTGAGGGCGCTGTCGCCGTGATGTTATTTATGTACGACACTGTCCATATAAGGTGTTTTTCCTTGGAAATTGTGCTCCCTAAATTTGCTCACTGAAAATATTTGTGAGAAAAGTTTGCTCATTGGCTTTCCTCCATGAACTGACTCAACAACGAATCACTATAAAGAAAAGAAAGTTTACGACAGCAAAATATCAAAAAATCTGGCACCTTTTGACCACAAACCAATTGCAACATTAAAATTTCTGCCTGATATGTTATCATCCTTTTTTTCTTGTTATGGACATTTTCACAGCATAAAAATTAAACAAAAAAACAAAAAAAACCCACCAAAATACCCCTGGAAAACGGGGGTGGGTGCGGGGAAAAGAGGAGTATTTACCACCCCGTATTTTGTAATGACTGCCCTTTCCCTTTCAAATGCCCTTTTTTCACCAGCGATTACCCCCCCCCCCCCATATTTTGTAAGAGTGCCCTTCTTTTGTTAACAAGTTCCCTTTTTATGATCAAGTGCTCTTTTAGCAAACAAAAGTCGTGCCTTTTTTGTGCCATCGGCCGTTACAGCTAGGTGCTTATTTTTGAATTTCGCGCATGTATCGCCCTGGAAAGCACCATATACTACCCGTTACTGTGCACAATCATCGGTTTTGAACAGCGCCCTTATCGACAGATGGTACCAGCCCCCCCCCCCCCCCCAACTATTTGATTTTACGGAGGCCAAGTGTTCGGAGAAAAAAGTGTCTATATTTCAGAACGGATGTGCAATTGCCCTTTTCGAGAAAATTGAACCCGCCCCACCCCCACCCCCCCCCTTCCTGAAAATGACCGTGCTACGCCACTGCTTGACGGAGGCTCTTAAGATTATTGTAAAAAAAAATGTATACAATCAAAGGGACTACAGGACCTGAGTAAATCAGACAACCGACCAGTTTTCCTTAAAGTTGGGTTTTTAATTGTGAGCAATGCATTATTCCGTTCACTTTAATATCGAAAAGACATTAGTATAATTGAACAGCTCTGAAATTCTGGGGGAAAAAATGGGCTTGAATCGAAATCGTTTTATATTAAAGGTCTTTACCTGGCTATCATGGGTATTTTTTTGCACACCAGGCACAATTCACACACGCCCGGTTCAGCAAACACAGACAGCAAGTATCGGAGAGTCAGTTACTCTGCGGATGGAGAGTGTGAATCCACCGAACTCCAACTACAGATGGAAGCACAATGCAGATAGCGTGCGTAAATGGGATGGCATGCTGAGCGTGGCTATCGGGAATGTCAGCAAGGCCAATGAGGGGATATACAGCTGCTTCATAGATGGTGCAGAAAACCAGCAACGTCATGGCTTCATGAGACTCATCGTAAGAGGTAATTTCCTACAATTTCTATTAAATTTTTTGCCAAACTTTTGCCTATTTTAGGAGCATTGTAGGTCTACACGTTCTGTTGCACGTTTACTGATATTGGCTTATAATTTTTACATTTTTTTAAAAGTATTAAGAGAGAACAAAGAGAATGTACTGTGAGACACTCCAATAGCTGCCAAATTTTTCAAACCCCCTATTCAGTGTATGATAACAAAAGTATTCCTCGTTTTTCTTAAGTCTTACTGTCTTTGAGAATATCAACCGTCCCTTAGAAAAGATTCAGGTTGACGGATAACAAAAGTAGATACAATTTTTCCTCGATTTCATGTGTCAGAATAAATGTATGTGTGCAAATAAATGTATACAACTACCAAGCTCATTTTAACATCTGAATGTTCGATGTGGAAATCTTTTTGTTTTATATAATTATGTCTGACACAAAATGTCAGATTTGACCGATAAGCTATAAACCGACGTAAGCAATCCTTGATTATATTAGGCCTATGATGTCTTTGTAATTCACATTTTGCTCGTTGATGGACTCGACTGCTCTGTTGGTGTTATACGTGTAGAATGCGCAGCTGGTATGTGGGGCCCGTCTTCATGTCAGAACACCTGTCGTCGATGCTACAATGGAGGTATCTGTGATGACAAGACCGGAACGTGTATCTGCGCTCCAGGATTCAGTGGAGAATATTGTCAGCAAGGTAACATTCTTCGTCTTTTTGTTTGGACTGTTGAACATTTTCTTCTTGTGGAACAACTCAGTTAATTTAATTACGCATATTTTAGTTACGGATATATGTTGTCTTCTTACAATCAGTTCACGGGCGTCATGCTTTTGGACAGAATCCTAGTCATATCTGCTCTAGCACTGACGTTTGCCGGGGTCGTTTGTTCTGTTCTCCTGATCCTTACGGATGCTCCTGTGCTGCTGGGTATATGGGACTAGACTGTATGCAAGGTAAGGAATTGGCAAAATATTGCAAAGTATTTCGTTTTGGGTACTCGTTGGTATTCCTTTCAGACAAGTGCTCTGAAGATTACCAATGAATTAACTTCTATTTTATTTAGCTTATTCCCCGGGTAGATATTTTTCAGAGATTCTTTGCATTGAACAATCCCTGTTGAGCCATGGTGATTCGTCCCTTTAAAAAGCATTAAAAAGCACTTTTTTGGTTCCATTTTGCCAACTTTTATTCCACCGAACATTTTTTTTCGTTTCCACGTTAGACTGTACTGAAGGGAAGTATGGAGCCGACTGTAAGCAGACATGTCACTGTCCATCTGGAGATTCCTGCGAGAAGGATACGGGAGAATGCACCGGATGTAAGAAAATGTAGATTCATCTTCCAAACAAATTGAGCTTGTTTACTGAATTTTTGCTGACAAGTGACCACGTGACAAGTGAGAGGCACATTATTCTTAATTAAATATTTTTGATGATTAGATTTTTACAAATTAGATTCTGGTAAAGTAGCATACCTTAGTTTATTTAGTTTTGGTATCTTTCTTTCCAGATTGCACACCACCATATTTTGGAAGTAACTGCCAGTGTTCTTGTAAGTTCATAGCATTGACTCTTTTTATCTGTAAACAGTCTGTCCACTTCTCTGTAATCTGTTCGGATGTTATCCTGCAAATAATGTGCGTAGAAAAGCTGCAAAAATATCACTCATATCAAAGCTGAAATATGATTAAAAGAAGTTTGTGCCCTATCATGCGAAATTAGCAAGAAAAGGGAGGAATGGCATTGGAATGGGGATGCCACATCTTATACTCAGTAAACATTGAGTGATATTATTTGATCCGATGAGTAACGTTGCTTCAGGCCTAATAATTATGAACATGGAAAGTGCTCCGTGTTATTGTTACACCCTCTGTTTAAAGGGAATATACAACATTTGCAAACATTGGAAAACAAAACTACCAAATGTTTACAAAATAGCTTACTAGGATGTTGGTAAATGAAAGTCTGAAGCATCCTGTAAAATTATGGCACCTGGTGTGAAGTCATTTCCAAGAAAAGTGGTATTTTGTATACATTTCCAACAGTGGTCGGCCGACTACCGTTGGAAAAACCTAACTATTTTTCAACTACTGCTCCAAATTACCTTTTTTTCAGTCCAAATTTTGTTTGCTATTGGTTCCAGGTTCATGAACGGGTGCAGACTAGCTAGATTGGTTTCCTTATATACCTTACAATTTTCCGGCATCTATAAATTGATGCATTTTATCTTAAGTGGAGTCAGGGAACCAGACTACTTGAACATTTTTGTGTTTCCTGGTTTTTCCAGCATTTTCGAACACAAAACATCAAACTTGTCAGTGTAACAATAGTTGATATATTGTACTTACCCCTCAAATAGTTCATTTCTGTAGATTACAGCAAAGCCATTGATGTACATTCCCTTTAAATTGTAGCTGACAATGGCGTTCTGGGGCTAAAGGTGATTTCAGACGATCCTCATCAACTACAAGTTACCTGGCAACCAGATCCATGTGTCTCTGGCTACATACTGGAGTATGCCTTGACAAACAGGGGCCAATGTGAAGAGATTGAATCTCCACAGCGGGTATCACTTCCAGGTCCACTCGATGGTCAAACTACCAGTCATGTCATCACTGGTTTGATATCTAGTTCAACCTATATGGTGTACATTCGCCCACAGTACAATGGTACGCAAGGACCTGAAGCGTCGACATCAGGAACCACACTTACAGAAATTAGTGAGTACACCGAGCCAGTTTTCTTATAAATAACCCAATTGATATTTTCGATCGTAATCAACACACAAATGTATCATGATGCAATGTACACTTCACTTCTGAATTGGAATATATTAATTATTTCGAATCCATCAGTTTCCTTACGGGTAATGGTGACTTCTTACGATTCTGCCAGTGTCACACTCAGCTGGCGTGAGGTGTACTGTGCCAACTACTCCGTCCAGTACGCACTGCAAAACAAAGAGGGTTGTGAAACTATTGACCCGCTAAACTTCACCCAGCACTGCATGTGTTCTGGAACTAATTCGACGGTAATACCTGGTCTGTTTGCCAATTCGATGTATGAGATACGAGTCAACGCCTATGTGGATGGAAGCTACGGACCAACAACACAACTAACAGTTATAACTGGCACACAAGGTAAGACTATATCTCCCAGTCATTAACCCACACCTTTATACTGTAACGAAATGTGATCGGCGCTCCATACTTTTTATATTTTTCGTTTGCCCGCCATAGTTATGCGCTATTTTTAGTATGGGGTATATAATGCAGCGTTCGCGCGCATTCTGGCCAGACTGTTTTGGCGCGTCGTTGAGTGTCAGACTAAAAGAAAGCTTCTTGGAGACAGAGCGCTGGGGGCCGGCCCCACCAGGCCCGCCTTGGCGACGGGCCTGGCCGAGACTAGGAGAGACCGCGTAGCTAACCGTGAGTGTTGAGCAGCTGTATTGTTAATGTTACACACTCCTTTTCTTTTATAAGTAGTGGTGCAATTGTGGAATTGATACTTGAGTTTACTTGATTAAGTAAGCTTAATACTCGTTCGATTGAAGACAGCATATTTGGGTTATTTTTGTCCCCTCTGTGTAGGTATATCTTGTTAGTGAAGCACTTTTATTGTTGAACTATCGATGAGGAAATCTCCTTCCCTTAGAAAACTCCCTTCCCTTAAGGAAACTATTTCCTTTTAAGAAACTCACTATCCCTTTCGGAAACCCTTTCCCTAAAGTAAATCCATTCCTTTAAGAAACTTCCTTTCCCTTACGGAAACCCTTTCTCTTGGGGAGCCCATTCCCTAACGTATCAGGAGCGACAACTGCCTCGCGGGAGACGAAGGGTGGAGCTCATCAGGAGGATCGGCATCTGCCTTTGGGATTCCTCGGAGGGTCGTCTAGAAACTGGGGAAATCCCTTCCCTTAAGGAAATCCTTTCCCTTAGGAAACCCCTTCCCTTAAAGAAACCCTTTTCCTAAAGGAACTCCTTTTCCCTTAAAGAACTCCCTTCCCCTTAAGGAAACCCCCTCCCTTGAAGAACCCATTTCTAAGGTATCCGGAACGACAACTGCCTCACGGGAGACGAAGGGTCGAGCTCATCAGGAGGATCGGCATCTGCCTTCGGGAGACCTTGAAGGGTCGTCTGGAGCCTAGGAAACCCCCTTCCTTGAGAAACTCCCTTTCCCTTTAGGAAGCCCTTTCCCTAAAGGAAACCCTTCCCCTTCAGGAAACCCCCATCTTTATAAGTACTTACCCTTGGTTGAGACATTGTAATAAAGGAACTTCAGTTGTTGCTTGGCTGAATAAAGAGACTTCTTGAAGCTTGAGCTTGTGTGTCTGGGTCCCATTTCTTGTCTGGTTGGGTAGATTTGTCGTTCGAACAATATAAGGGAAAATTAGTTACGCACGGCGGTAGACAGTCTCCAAACGAATCATCGCCTTAGGACCATCTGGACTGCCGCTCGTCTGGAGGGTTCTCGAGACCGTTACTTTTCGAGAAAATCGAGATCCGCCACAATATCCTCAATGAGGTTACTATGATAGCCATGCCATTTGGGATCAACTCACTTAAATTTGATTGATATTTTTCATTTGTTTTCCTTTAGTGCCATCTGCACCACCACAGCAAGTTACCGTCACTTCAACAACAAAAAGCAGCCTGACTTTCTCCTGGAGTCAGCCAGCGTGTGGAAGCCGAGGTGGCATCATCACAAGCTACTCGTACAAGCTGAGTGGACCAGGGTCACAACTCATCTTAGATGTATCAACAGCCGAACAAGTTGAGATAGATGGCTTAATCCCCTTCACTAACTACAGTTTTCAAGTTGCTGCAAACACCAGTGTTGGGGCAGGGCCCTACAGTGACGTTGTCGATCAGAGAACTGATGAAGCAAGTAAGTACTGTTTACAAATACAAAACCTTGATCAATATTGATATTCCATTATTAGATCGAACTATACCCTTGTTCATTTCGAACAATTCAGATACCTTTGTACTTGCACTTACACTCAGATACTTATTTTTTTTTTACAATATTCAACAGAACCCACAGCACCCTTGAATGTCGTCATTCAGAACATTGATGACGTATCCATCACACTCAAATGGTCAGAGCCCAACCCTCCCCAAGGAATCATCACTAATTACAACGTGAGGTATTGGAGGAGTGGTCAGTCAGGGACCCCAACACTTATCTACGATGTGGTGCAAGTAATGCATGAGATAACGGGTCTTGAAACTGGTGTGACATACTTCCTGCAGGTCTGTTCAGTACTCGCATTTGCCTGATGTGTCTGTTACACTTTCAGTTTCAATCTGAATTCTTAATCATTGAATATATATTAATGAACCCAGGCAAGTAATCACTAATATTGTACACCCAAGGAGGCCCATTGCATTGTTATATCATTGTACATGCTATGTACTGTACAAAACAACCGCTCGGTACAATGCACAATGCTTTCGCCGTCGAAGGGGTCCTTGTAGCGTAGGCTACTGGACTTCCCGGATTGGTATATTTAAGATAAAACATTCTGACCGCCCAAAAGCAACATGGAAGAAAGAAGTTCCTATCCAAGATATCTACTTCTTTATGTGCCTTGCATTTATTGACTCGATATCAGATAGTTCGGTTCCTTTCTTGTCGGTGTTCGTCTGGGGGAAGAATGTAAAAGTTTGATATATGTTTTTCCAGGTGCAAGCCCACACGTCAGTTGGTGCAGGACCCTGGAGTAATGAAGTGACTGCAATGACCACAATACGAGGTATCAATGGCTCATATCAGTCATCATTCTGTAGCCCCTATACGCTTTATTTTGATGTACTTTGATCAAGAATGAAACTAGCTAAATAGCTTTGGCTGTGTCTTGATCAGAAAAATCTCGCTTATATATTTGTAGATTCACGGCAATATTGGATCTTGGCACGATATTTGGGCGTGGCGAAATTAACTAGTTCGCAGATCCCAAAATCAAACTCAGAACTGTATGCTGCACTAGTAAGGTACTTCACGAAGATCTTTACATATTTAAACGATCGTAACCCCATCTAAAAACACGTGAAAATTGTGCAGCAGCAGGATTCCAGTCAAACCAGTGAGTTCGGCAGTTGAGACATCATCTTACATTGAAAAAAAAATAATAATTTTGCCTACGCGCTCGGCTACGGTGACGCGCGCATACCAGAAACCGGAGCCTTTTTTGGCCTTATTTAGATTGTTATTTTTCTTTCCAGATTGCATACCACCATATTTTGGAAGAAACTGCCAGTGCTCTTGTAAGTTCATTGACTCGTTTTATGTATAAAAAAATTGAACCACTTCTCTGTCATTTTGCAGATGATGTACATATAAAAGCTGCAAAAATATCACTCATCTCAAAGCTGAAAAAGGCAAAATTAAGAGAAGTTTGTGCAGATGATTATGGCATAGTGTCCTATCGGGAAGGAGATACATAAAATAACCAGAAAGAGAGGAATGGCATATGAATGAGGATGCCACATCTTATACTCAAAAAAACCCTGTGATATTATTTTATCAGTTGCGTTGCTTCAAACTTGATAATTCTTAACATTGAAACTGCTCCGTGTAATTGTTACACCTTCTGTTTAAATTGCAGCTGACAATGGCGTTCTGGGGCTAAATGTGTTTTCAGACGATCCTCATCAACTCCATGTTTCCTGGCAACCAGATGCATGTGTCTCTGGCTACATACTGGAGTATGCATTGACGAACAGGGGCCAATGTGAAGATATTGAATCTCCACAGCGGGTATCACTTCCAGGTCCACTCGATGGTCAAACTACCAGTCATGTCATCACTGGTTTGATATCTCGTTCAACTTATAAGGTTTGCATTCGCCCTCAGTACAATGGTACGCAAGGACCTGAAGAGTCGACATCAGGAACCACACTTACAGAAATTAGTGAGTACACCGAGCCAGTTTTCTTATAAATAACCCAATTGATATTTTCGATCGTAATCAACACACAAATGTATCATAATGTACACTTCACTTCTGAATTGGAATATATTAATTATTTCGAATCCATCAGTTTCCTTACAGGTAATGGTGACTTCTTACGATTCTGCCAGTGTCACACTCAGCTGGCGTGAGGTGTACTGTGCCAACTACTCCGTGCAATATGCACTGCAAAACAAAGAGGGTTGTGAAACCATAGACCCGCTAAACTTCACCCAGCACTGCATGTGTTCTGGAACTAATTCGACGGTAATACCTGGTCTGTTTGCCAATTCGATGTATGGGATACGAGTCAACGCCTATGTGGATGGAAGCTACGGACCAACAACACAACTAAGTGTTATAACTGGCACTCAAGGTAAGGCTATTTCTCCCGGTCATTAACCCACACCTTTATACCCTTACCAAGGTAACTATAATAACCATGCCATTGGGGATCAACTCACTTAAATTTGATTGATATTTTTCATTTGTTTTCCTTTAGTGCCATTTTCACCACCACAGCAAGTTACCGTCACTTCCACATCAAAAAGCAGCCTGACTTTCTCCTGGAGTCAGCCAGCGTGTGGAAGCCGAGGTGGCATCATCACAGGCTACTCGTACAAGCTGAGTGGACCAGGGTCACAACTCATCTTAGATGTATCAACAGCCGAACAAGTTGAGATAGATGGCTTAATCCCCTTCACTAACTACAGTTTTCAAGTTGCTGCAAACACCAGTGCTGGAGCCGGGCCGTACAGTGACGTTGTCATTCAGAGAACTGATGAAGCAAGTGAGTACTGTTTACAAATACAAATCCTTGATCAATATTGATATTCCATTATTTGATCGAACTATACCCTTTGTTCATTTCGAACAATTCAGATACATTTGTACTTGCACTTACACTCAGATACTTATTTTTTTTACATTATTCAACAGAACCCACAGTGCCCTTGAATGTCGTCATTCAGAACATTGATGACGTATCCATCACACTCAAATGGTCAGAGCCCAACCCTCCCCAAGGAATCATCAGTAATTACAACGTGAGGTATTGGAGGAGTGGTCAGTCAGGGACCCCAACACTTATTTACGATGTGGTGCAAGTAATGCATGAGATAACGGGTCTTGAAACGGGTGTGACATACTTCCTGCAGGTCTGTTCAGTACTCATATTTGCCTGATGTGTCTGTTACACTTACAGTTTAAATCTCAATTCTTATCCTTGAATATATATTAATGAACCCAGGCAAGTAATCACTAATAGTGTACACCTAAAGAAGCCCATTGCATTGTTATACCATTCTACATGCTACAATACTGTACAAAACAACCGCTCGGTACAATGCACAATGCTTTCGCAGTCGAAGGGGTTCTGATAGCGTACTCGACTTCCCGGAAATGTATATATAAGATAAAACATTCTGATCACCCGAAAACAACATGCAAGAAAGAGGTTCCTATCCAAGATATCTACTTCTTTATGTGCCTTACATTTATTGACTCGACATCAGATAGTTCGGTTCGTTTCTTGTCGGTTCGTTTGGGGGAAGATTGTAAAAGTTTGATATCTGTTTTGCCAGGTGCAAGCCCAGACGTCAGTTGGTGCAGGACCCTGGAGTAATGAAGTGACTGCAATGACCACAATACGAGGTATCATTGACTCATATCAATCATTCTATGGTCCCTGTACTTCATTTGATGTACTTTGATAAGGAATGAAACCAGCTAAGTGGCTTTGGCTGTGTCTATGATCAGCAAAATCTCCCGTGTATTTGTAGTTTCACAACAATATTTGTTCTTGACACGATATTTGGGCGTGGCCTAATAAACTAATTGGCAGGTGTCAAAATCCAACTCAGAACTGTATGCTACACCAGTACGGTACTTCAGGAAGAACTTTAAACATTTTAAGATAAATCAATGTCTATATGTTTTTGTTTTGTTTCCAGAACCTGGACCCATCCAGTATCTTCATTGGACAGACAGAACTGAATACACAATCATCTTGGACTGGGAGCCGCCGCTGAATCCTAATGGACAAATACAAAGATATATAGTAAGTCTTTTATTATTTCTCTTTAGTAGCAAAACAGACAAATGCTATAATGTTGATTAAGAATGCTAAACTGTTCGGAAAATAAGCTATAACCTAGTGTAAACTTGGTGAACTAAATCACTTTGGTCGTACGTATGGCGACCTTAATTACAATCGATACATGTTGTTGAGTGACAGTCTGATTTACAGATTTAAACATTAAGAAAGTGATTTTTCCCATGGCCAACTCTATGTTACAGCATTAAATCTTTCGTAACATTAGATCTATTCGTACAGCAAGGTTAGTCTTGCCCACAAATTATAACTTATTATGTGAGTGCTATATTAAAAGTATTACAAACGTCCTCTGAAACTGTCCATGTTAATGCCTTTTTAACCGTGAAATCATTTTCCTGAGAGTACTTAAACAACACTAAATCCCCTGCCTTTATTTTACTATATCCCATCGAATGCGAATCCCAAAGTAGAAGTGCTGCAAATTTGACATATATATAATGTGACCTTTTTCCCCTCAAAATCCTACATTTCAACATCGCAGGTGGAGTACCGAGCGACAGACAAGCCTCATCAACCTGGTTTCACTTCACCTGACGAATACGAAAGGAATGAAGTGGAGAGTCCGCCATTTGTGAAAGAAAATCTGGAGCCTGGTACAAAGTATGAGTTCAGAGTGGCAGCGGAGAATCAGTTGTTCAAAGGAAGTGCTACAGTTTTGGAAGCTTATACCAAACCACCGTCAGGTAAGACAACAATCTGTATTTGATCGTATGTGCTTCAATGTCAGCATACACATGTTTAATATTCAATCCTAACAGTGAAAGAAAAACACGAATATGTTCCATGAAAAAAACCCTCTCAATTAGACCTATTGCAGAAAATTTTCTACTTGCATCTTATGATGGAAACTGGTAAAAAAAAGCCCCACTTCAATTAGCCGTGAAATTGACAATTTAAACTATTATCCTACAATATTGGAATAATTTTTAACAATAACGCAATAGGCCTATTTGAACCTTAGATCTTCATGCACCGCCTCAACCGATTTCATACCAAGGAGACGCCACAGATACTACCGTCACTATTGGTATAACTACCGCAGTATCTGGTGATGACTTCATTGAGTGAGTACCATACAGGACTGCAGTCGGTTTGTTTGAAATCATTAAATGTTAATAAAATCAATGTGCTAATGAAAGACATAAGTTAGTATTGTGAAATACCTATCACGCAAAAGGGATCTGATTCTCAACACCCATTCAATTTTAACCAATCTTCCAACCGAGGTAAATTGGGGGAAATGCTAGAGGAATGTCCACTTCAGTTTCCTCCAGAGGTGTGCAGATACATTGTCAAAATAAATGGCATTAATGAAGGACTACATTGGTACAACAAAAAAAAACTCTATTAAAGTTTGCAACTTAAATTGTTCAGTATGTGATATAATATTGGCCTATTTGCTGATAATATGGTATATGACCTATTTCCAGCTTTTGTATAAAATGTAGATAATCGTCCACTTTTTTTACTGCAGATCGTACGTCGTTCATGTCAAGAAGACCAGGTCTTCATCTGTGACAAGGCGAGATGTTCTTATTCCAAGCCATTTCGAGGATTCCCCCAGTGACTACATAACAGCGGAACTCCCTAATGGGGGCGTGCCCGACAGATTTGTAGTTGGGGACACCAACATGTACGGTGGTTACTATAACGCCCCGCTGCAGACGGGTGCTGTGTACAACATTCGTGTTGGGTCTGTCAGTAAGGGAAACGAATCGGTACGTGCTTTCATACATCACTAATATTTCGTAATTAAACAAGAATTACAGCGTATACTTTTATGCCGACGAATGTGATTTAAAGTACTATTTGAATTACTAGAACCCCTTCTCCAACAATATCCACACAACTTTGACAAAATTGTACCGGCCTAGACTGCCCTGCCCGTTTACTCAGTGTGACACTCCAAACCGCTCCACACTCTGGTTGTGTTGCATTATGGAGGAGTAAATACATTAGTACATCTTGTTTTAAGTGCTAAAACATAACTTTTTGGCTTAATTACCTAGGTGGCCAATGTGGAATTTTCAGAGCCACTGACTATCAAAGGTAAGATGTTTTTTAAACAACCCCAGTTTTTAAATAATGATACTTTGATATTTGTGTTTAAAAATAACCCTACTGATCCTTTATTTTACACACAGTTGAGCGACCGAGTTCCAATCCAGGGCCTATTATCGCTGCTGTTGTAATTAGCATTGGCCTCTTGGTTGTACTTCTCGTTGCCGCATTCATCTTGTGGAAAAAACGTAGTGCGGCTCGCTCACAGCAAACTGCGACCGACGAACTGGTGAGTCATCAGCATTATAATACAACAATCTTCATCATATGTTGATTGAAGGAAATTATTTTATGTCTTTTTCCCGCTGATAATTTACTTACAAGATCAACAAGAAATATATATATGATTTGAAGCCCTCCATACCAGCACGGTGGAAAGACAGAATAAACGATGTGTTTTGCGTGTGAACCATTAGAATATCTCTTCCGTGAAGGGCGGTTCTAAAAAGAACCGGAGATGTAGACAGTTAATTGTTTCGGACTGTACTGGCTGACCCAAAAATAAAAATGCAGCCCTGAAACATTTTGCCTTCAAAAAAAAAAAGAGATCTGAACAAACCATTGTTATGGTTTGGATATCAGATTAAAGCTGAGAGCTTTTTCTTTCAAATACTGAAGAAAAAAAAGAATCATGAAAACAGCACATTGGGTAGTTGAGAAAGTGCCAATTATGTAAAAAAAAAAAAGAAAAAAAAAAAAAAGATTTTTCATCCTTTCCGATGTTATTTCAAACAATGAAACATTTTACTGTAAGCCCACTGTGCTTTATCATGCCGCCTTCCAAGGGACCGTACAATCAACAGCCACTCGCGAGAAAAAGGTTTTGGTAAAAAATACGCACAAAATCGCGGGAAAAAAAGGAATTTGTGTTCTTCCAGCTATTCAGGGTAACTCATATGGCTGTCATTTTTTTCTGGATGCAAACTTTTCAGTGAGGGGGTGGGGGGGCTTCCCTTAACTGTGGTAATGCCATTTTAATGGACCGACATAATAGGCATTTTCTCAGCAACAGAATGTACTGTTTTTATTATTTATTTGGTATTTAAAAGAACAAACTCTCAGCTTTGATCTGATATCCAAAACATAAAAATTAACTTCAGGGTCTCATTTTGGTGGGTCACGCCGTATGCCGTGTCCGTCCTCAGGAGAAAGCTGGGCACTTGTTGCTTGGCTGCTATGAGTAGTTGCTGTGTGTGGAGAGGAGAGAAAGTTGTGCTTAAAGGGAAGATGCAACATTTGCAAACATCAAAAAACGAAATAATCAAATTATCCCAAAATACCTTACTGGATTGTTGGGGAATGACAGTCTAAAGCATCCTGTAAATTCATGGCTCCTTGTGGGCTGACATTTCAAGAAAAAAAAAGTATTTTTCCAACGGTGGTCGGCCGACCAGCATCGGAGAAAACTGACTATTTTCAAAAAGTGCTCCTATTTTTTCATACTTAGTTATTCCGCATTTTCTTTGCAATTGATTACGCACCTGTGAAGCAGGACAAGCCTGCCAGACTGATTCTCTGACCTTAGAATACCACAAAGTTTATAAATGCAATTGTTTAATCTTAAGTGGGGTCAGGGAACCAGACTACAAGAACATTCTTTGTTTTCTCGGTTTTTTTTCCAGCATCTACAAGCCCATAACGTAAAGCAAGTCAGTTTAACAATATTTGCTATACTAATCCTCCAAATCCATGTATTTCTGAAAATTGCAGCAAAAGCAAATGTTGTACATTAACAAAAGAACGTGTACACCAGATCCCCGCTTTTCTTTTAAAGACTTAATGACTATGGTTTGGAGTTTTTCCCTGGTATGTCTTTTGTTCCCTGTTTGTCTTTTGTTCCCTGTAATTTATAAGGCTCTATCTGAAAATCCGAAACCTACTAACAATAATTTGGAGTCGCTGCATGCGGACAACAACGACCCTGATGTCTATGAAGTTGTTGCGATTCTTCCAATTTGGGCGTCTGAACTGGAAATCAAATGGGACAATTTCATCATCGATGATGAGATTCTTGGCAAGGGTAACTTTGGCGAGGTACGGGCAGGATGCGTGAAGATTAAAGGCCAGGTCACCAAAGCAGCCATCAAAACAATAAAAGGTAAGACGGTCTGAAACGTTGAACTAATAAAAAGAAACGTTTCACTTTCATTTATATCATAAATTGGAATACACATGAATTCTTTGTACTTTATGCTATTATTCATCAAAGTTACGCACTATATCTTTTGAAAAGAAAAGAATATTTAATCAAAAACACTCAGTGACAAGAAAGATAATTATTTCATTTTATAATTAATTGAAAAGGTTGTGGATCTTTTGTTGGATGTGGATCTAATAATTGTATTTGTCTATTTGTAGGAAATGCTCACGAATCTGCATGGGAAGACTTTATGAAGGAGTTACGGACAATGACAGGCATTGAGCCCCATCCTAATGTCGTTGGTCTACTGGGTGCATGCATGCACGAAGGTATTCATTCAACCTTAGTACCTGAATATGTTTCAGAAATTGCTCGTACTTTTTTGTGGACAGTTGTGCCATAAAACATAATAGTTCCAAAAGATGTTAGAGTTCGTTTGAGGTTATATTTTTAAGGTTAAAACTGTATTCATGTGTTATAATGTGTACAAACGTAATATTTTGTTTGATAGCGATTCTGTACGTGGCGCTTGAGTTTCTACCTAATGGCAACCTCCGGGATTATCTGAGGAGTACTCGCCCTAAGCAGCAAGGGGCAGCTGGCTCTCAAGATGATGTGTCGCCGCTGACTTCTTCCAACCTGCTCAAGTTTAGTCTGGATGTGGCCAAAGGAATGGAACATCTGTCCAACACGGGGGCAAGTCAGAAACAATATTAATCATATATTTTTAAGATGAATACGCTGCAAGAAAAATATTCTACCCGGTAAATCTTGGATGTGGACTTTTTTATTGTTCTTCGACACTTGCAAATGTAAAGTTATCGACGCAATGTTTGGTTTCTAATTACATTGCTGTAAAATATGCACTGATAAATTATATTAATAAATATCTTGTATCTATAGATAATCCACCGTGACTTGGCTGCAAGGAACATCCTTCTCTCTGAAGATCTGACCGCCAAAGTGTCTGACTTTGGCCTTTCCAGAGGAGAAGAAATATATGTCCAGAAATCCTCGGTAAAATGCTTGAGTGTAATCGGACAGAGTGTGTGTTTTTTTTTTAATTGACTCCATCATTTGGACCTTCAAACAATACACCATTTGAAATAAATTACTTTTCCACTTAAAACGTATAAGATATTGTAGATACAGAAAACCTTAAAACTACCAGTTCAATTTGTTTTGTTCATTAGACCGGGATTCCCGTTCGCTGGTTGGCCATCGAATCTTTAACGCGTCGTGTCTACAAGTCCAAGAGTGATGTGTAAGTTAAAATTGACGTTTGGCAGTAAAAAGAAAACAGAAAAGTGTCTTACTTAAACGGCATGGGTTTCAACTATAAGTATTATACAAACACTTAATTTATGACTTAAAATGAGACTTAGACTTGATTTTTAAACAAGAAAATTAGTCTGCCATTCTGTTTTTCTCTGCATTATGTGCATTCCTACCATCCAGGTGGTCCTTTGGCATCTTACTGTGGGAGATCGTTACATTCGGTGAGTTCTTCACTGCGTATCTTGGCTTGGTCTTTCCCCTCCTTTATGCTTTATGTTTAAGAGCATTTTCTGAAGTCTACATTTCATCGCACAAAATCTTTATAGCAGAACTCAGTTTGCGGACATCGCCGTGTAATTTCTAACTTGAAAATATAGGATAATGAAATATTTGCATCGTTTTGGTTTGTGGTAACACCATGTCGTATTAACTACTGACGCTCAGTCGATTTTAACTAGGTGGATATTTAGTTCTGATAAGAACTTGTCCTGCTTATTATCAACTTTTGCTTAGTAGTTTTTTAGTTCTGATAAGAGCAGTCCTGCTTAGCCTTCCAAAATAAAACTTGTTTCATTTTGGTCTCAACGTTTCGACTAGCCTGCTCTAGTCATCATCAGAAGACTGAGAAGAGTTGAAGATGCTGCTCCTGAAGTAGGCTATGTTAAGATTGGGAGTGCTTGTGTTGGCAGATTCTAATTGGTTGTCTGTTGGACATTGTGTTGGAGTGGGATGCCCGTAGTGTGTCCTGCATGCTCGCTCGGGTGTGTCAGTTGGCTGTGAGCCCTGGGCATTGTGTTGGACTGGGAGGCCCGTTGAGTGTCCTGCTCGCTCAGGTGTGTCTGTTGGCTGTGAACCATGAGTGTTGCAACACGGTATTAGTGAATGATGATTGTGTTGCTTATAAAATAGCCGATGTCTTGTAGTACAGTGTATTGTTTATGGATATCAATAACTTCTCTTATACGACGGGTGTACCAATGCTTCTCAGCCAGTCATCTGTAGTAGCTATAATTTAAAGCACGTCTGTTTCTTAATTGAGTAATTGTTAGGCCAAAACCTTTACTTTAACGTTAAAAAGATTATATGCGGTTAGTAATGCATTGATTCCCAAACTCGAATTGGTCGTTTTAGGATCCACTCCGTACCCTGGTATTGATAACAAGTCACTGGTCCATAGACTGCTGGATGGATACCGCATGCCCAAGCCAGAAAACTGCGCTGATGAAATGTAAGGAACAATGTACATGTACTCTTCTTTATCCGTACTGATACTGATTTTGACTTTAATTAAAATTAAATGTTCAAATATTTTACGAGCTTGTCTATTTCTGCCATCTTTTATATGGCTCGTTTTCCTATTATCTATTTGACTTATAATCTATTTGACATTTTCAACGTCTTAGATTAATAGTGTGATATCATTTTTCCCTCGATATGTTTTAAAGTTACGATGTGATGTTGAAGTGCTGGCATGTGCAACCTAGCAACCGTCCCAGTTTCAGCGAACTGGTCGAAATTCTGGAGGAAATGACCTGCAATCCGGATGTAAATGTACGTAGTGGGGACCTAATAATGTCAATTAAATGTGAACATTGTTCTGATTAAAGGTCTGTGTTTGAGTCGCAGTGTGCCAAAAATCATTACTCAAAAAAATCTTTGTTGATCTCAGTTTCGAATCAATCCCTTTTAGTGCTCGATACTCTACAGATTTGTCGAAAAGATTGTGTAATATATCTTTTCAAGTTGTTTGACTTGCAACGTAACATTAATTTGTAATTATAACTTGAAGGATTATATCCTGGTGTCTACCGTGAGTGATCCATGTTTGTACCTTTACCTTGATTTATTACAGGATTACTTGTCACCGACTGTCTACTATAGTTTCACCATCAAGCCCGAGTTTGACGATAACTAGACGAAGGCGATGATCGCTCACATGGCAGCTTAGTCAATATCTCTATGTGTTGGTATAATATGACATATTGAGCATATTGAGTTCATGTATTCTAGTATTTAGAATAAATTGTTCTGTGCAGGGTGTCCCCCAAACAGTGGTGCAAGCAGATATCCTTAATTTCTCAAAATTGCTTAACATGAGTATTATCTTGATGGAGCATAGTAACTATATACTCGTGTGTATATTCAGTAACTGCCATGGAAATCCATATATGAAAACCAGAGATCTTACAGATTGTAAAATGCCATGGGTTTTTCACCCATCCCAATGGGACAGGATTTGCACGGTTAACTTAACTTATATCAGATTGAAAATGCCCGTGACAATCTGATACCCCTATATCACTAACTGTGTACATTCCATCGGAATGGGTGAAAAACCCATAGCCTTTACACTAGATCTCTGGTTTGCACGAACGGACTCACTGATTGTACACAGGAGTATAATTAATATGCTCCATCAAGATGAAATACTGGTTCTCATGTTAAGTAGTTTTTGAGACTTTTTGGTGGGACACCCAGTAGTTATACAATTTCGGTAAATAAAAAGAAAAATGAGGAAGATGTGCCTACACCATTAATAAGCGATACTGGTCTGCTTCACTTGTTAGATCATTTGCGATACGATACCTTCCACTTTGATGTTTGGGATTATATCTTTAAATGAAAAGAAACTTAACAAGGGTACAGAAGCATTACATATACTGTGTTTTTAAAATATTTTTAACTGTAAAATAACGAAACAGCATGACTCCGTTTTGGTGAAATGGAGGCATTGTTCGACTTAACAATGAATTTTTAACAATACAAACAACCGAGAAAAATATATCCGATTTTTTTTTTTTATTTCTTTATGCTTACGATAGAATTACTCAGTTCCATGAGGAATGCACACGCTCTGGATGTACACACCTTGTAATTTAATTTTAAAGCAACTTAATATCAAATTGTAACGCCGACCAAAAAAATCACATGTTTAATTGAAAAGGAAAAACAATCTTTTAAATAAAACAAACTTTAGGGGATCACTGAGGACCGGAAAAAGGTATGACGCTGAGTTGACTACATCTGAGATATGTTTAAGACGTCCAGTGGTTTCAGTCTTATACAATGTGCTTAATACATTTGTCTTTCGTTCTTTCAATGTTCGTGACCATGAGCTCTTCAAAAAAGAAATAAGTACACAAACGTATCACGTGTGGTAGGGGAAAGCTCCTTGATATGAAATTCAACTTTGTTTTTGGTGCGTTTACTATATTATAGACTAAGAGAGTATTATCCAGAAGTTAGGTAGAGTAGAAGTTTTCAAAATGGTTACTTAAGATGGTAAGTTTATCCAAACATGCATACTCAGTCTAAGTGCTGTCATTTTGGCATTTCTAATAACGTAGGCCTACTTATTATATGCAAACTTGGCGTAAAGGTTTACAGTTTTGTATGCAATTTATACACGTGTTTTATTTACGATAGTAATTAAGAATGATAAGAAAGTAGGGCATAAGTAATAATTTCCACTGACCCAAGAGAGAGTTTGACACTGAGCTACAATCCTGGCCAAATCTCGCTGCCCCCCCCCCCCAGCCCCCGTTCAATGTTGTCTCTCATTGCGCGGTGTGTGCTCCATCCGCAGGAGAGAACAACATTGACCGTTGGAGGCTAAGGGTATTTCCAAGTGTCCCAACCATTTTGGCCGGGATTGTAGCTCCGTATCGGATTGTTGCTTAAAAGTAAGATCGATCTTTCGCTTATTGTTGTATATGTAAATATCCTGCCTCTGCTATGTAAATGATATAAAGGCATATACACTGTGTTATAATGATGACAAATTTCGTTTAAGGGGTATATTCATATTTTGATGCAAAGTTTGAAAGTGTTTTTACAGGACTTAATGGTGCCAGTTAGCTTACGGTTTATATATTTTTTTTCATTGTGTATTCATTTGACTCTCAATGTATCGCTATTAGCCTATTTGAGGTATAGCAGACAAAATAGGAGGGCGCTGTTTGATTTTGGTAAAGTCTTTTCTAATTACCTGCCATATCATATGTCAATAGGCTAATTGCTCAAGCTTAAAATCCGTGCACGACTCCAAGTGTTTGTATCTGTCCTGAGGCAGGAAAATTGTATTTTAACTTCAAATGAAACTTGGTTGGCAGGTGATTGTAAGATGGGTTGTTTTTTTTCTTTAAAGGTTAAGGTTCGATACAGTAAAACTAGCATTAAGACTCTAAAGATAACATTATATCCACTTTATTTGTTGTCATTTTTGTATAAGCATATTTACATTTTATTACCGATATTTTAAATGTTTAAAGTAGAATTTGGATCATTAAATGTGAATGTAGGTAACCTCACGATATAAGTTATGTGGTATATCACTACGCTCAGTCTCGCTGTAAGTAACGCCTTGCTTAAACAAATTAATGGGACCACTGATCCGGTGTATATTTTTTAAAGAATACAAACCATTCCGTTATTAGGAGGTCATTTTTTTTCTCGGATTTTAAAATGGACAAAATAACATGAAAGCTCATACTATTCTCCGAAACTGGAGAAGGCCTAGGTTCATGCAGTTCGCATATGCGTCCACCAAAATAATATAACAGACAGAAAAAAATGAAAGTCATGAAATCTAAGGTGAACCATTTTGAGACTCAAAGAGTGACACTTGAGAAAGCAATCTGAAAGGTCTTTCTGAACGGCGCCCTCCACGTCAAGCTGCTGTCATCATTAAGACTTAATGATGACTAGAAGTGTTTGTTTAAGATGTCTAGCGCTATTCTGGGTAGCAGTCATGAACGTGTGCAAAGATCCAAAGACTCTGTTCTTATTTTGTTAATGAATTTATATGGGGAAAAACTTTTTTTTGACAGAGCGGCGTCCCCCCCCCCCCCCGAATACGCGCCTGCAACGTCGGGTAAACGTTGGGCAAAATTGGAAATTTTTACACAATGTTTGTTAAAATTTTAACCAAATAGTTTAACCAACCGAAAATATTTTAACCAGCGCGTTTTCGGACTGTGGATTGGTTTCCTTTCAACTAATCCTTTAAAATAGTGTGAGTAAACAATCCCAAACATAAAATTTGTCGTGGATTTCAGGCCGTAGTGCTCCTTTAATTCATACAATGTCTGCTTGAGGGCAAAGGTTCAACGTTTTGATGCAATGCTGTTTATAAATTATCTCTCGGCTGTATGGGCAAATTGAAGTTTCAGTCGGTTGTTATAATAATTATTAATTATTTGAGTGTTTTAATGAAAAGTTGGTAGCTGACAGGTTGCCAGCGTTTAAGGTATCCATCGGGTGAGGATAACTGAGCTTTAAATTTGCTGTTACTTTCCGTAAACTGTAATAACTAAATAGTGTGGCAGCTCTATTATTCAACTCGGGCGGCGTAAAAGTTGAATATCGCGTTTTAAACAGTCATCTACTGCCTGTCCTTATTACATAACTTCATGCATAGGTATATTCAACTGGTTTATATTCCAACGAATGTTTTCCCGCAAACGACATCCGCATGGGGTTTACGTACGCTATGATGTTGGCTTTACTTTCTCTTAAAAACTTGAGAAACAATACAAAATAAAGTTGCATTTTATTTTCCTTTTAAATAACCCTCCAAGCCTCAAATTAGAAAAGAAAATAAATTGGGTAAACACTTGATGCGGATAGGATGTTTGGGAAAAAATAATTCGCCACCCCCACCCCCCCCCCAAAAAAAAGATGATTGGGCTTGGCCAAAAGAGGGCGCAAATCCGACGGTACGACGCGACGACGTGCGATCGCGACTCGCCAGTTGTTTGTACAACTACAAGGTACACGTCTGTCGTCTATATGTACAAGTAGTTGAATAATGTGCGACGTTCTCGTGAGGTGAGTACAATTATTTTCTGGATTTTTGTTATTCACTTATCACTCATTTAGCCGGAATCGCATAACATACGTTGGACCACCCCTATTTTTCTCCTACGCCCGACCCACATTGTTCCCATTGGTGTATTTTTCAAAGCAAAATGAGTAGTGTCAGTGCAGTGGCGATGTTTTTCGTCGCGAATGATTGCGGCGTAATGACGTGAGTAAGTGGTGACCGTGGGTGAGTTGTCGACGATTCACGGCGTGGTTGAGGTAGCGCATGGTCAATTCGTCTTCCCGTGGTTTGAGTGCTGGGCACATACAATGTACGATCATGATTGATTGACTACCAAATGCTAGTGTGTAATACTGTTGTTAAACTTAGTTACTGCCACCTGTTTTATGTGTCATATAGGCCCTATTGTTGGAATATCATGTGCAATAAATTTTTAACATTTAAAAACGTTAACCGCCATCTTTGTGATCACATGGTAATTTTGTTTGGGTCATGGGTGTGGGTGGGCCGGGGGAGGGTTGGGGCGGCATTTCAATGAAAATATGTCCTGTCATGCAACTACATTGTGGCCTGAGGTGATGATGTGATGTCTTTTCACTGAATGCCCCACCCGTACCCCCCTTCCCCCCAAAAAAAACAAAAACAAAAATTTACCACGATAATAATTAATATCACAAAGATGGTGATACGTGGATACTCGAGATGGCTTCAAAGTGACTAGCTTTTTTTAGTAGCTAGATGTAGAACTTAATAATTTGATCAGTAGGCGTACATCTAAATGTACTTTGGAGGAAAAACATGGAAGCCTTATCATTCTCTGATGGAACAGGGCCGTAAATGACACTTGTACCTTTATTCATTTGAGTTGTAGTAAAAAAACTTGACACTTTTTGGCAGAAAGAAGGTTTGTGTTGAGTAATTTTTAAATGTTTAAAATGTCATTGTTTAATTTTAAACAATGTGATGTGACCAAGGTGCTTTGTAAACAATTGACCTATCGCCGTTTGCGAGTTAGCCACGCACCTTAGACAAGATGGAGTTTATGTACACTAAGTTTTGTTTGTCCCGAATTTTGCGCATTCTGCGTCCATTGTATATCATGTAATTGGACAATATTTCACAACCTGCCTTGACGCGATTATAGCGCGATTCTACCACGATAGGTCAATTGTAGGACCATTTTAATGTTTTGGAAACTTTGGGATCAGATTTATTTTTTATTTGCTTTTCTCATTGCGCATCACCTCCTTTTTAAAATTAAAATTGAAAATTGATGAGAAAAATGGGGAAGGGGGGGGTCACTGTCAGGGAGTTTAATAGACCCACTAGTTTAAGGTACAGGGGTACTTTATACATTGTATACATTGGCTCTTTTGACATTAAGAATTGTCCCTGCTTCCTTGAAAAGAGAAAGGCCAAACAAAGGGAAACCTTCCCAAAACCTGGAGCCCTCTTCAGGGCTGAACCACTTGATGCACTATCAGACTCCTTGAGATGCAGGCAAGCATGTGCACATTGGTAAACAGTGCCAACAGGCTTCAGTGAGACCAATGAGGTTAGAGTGTTTAGCCACAATACAAGAACAGATTAGATTTGTTTGCTTTTGGTTAAACTCATTATTGCTGTACCTGTGTGTGGTTTCTTTGGGCTAGAGGTGTTTTCTTTAAAACTAGTGGGGTGTTTGAAAATATGGGATTTCTGTGGTTGAAGCATGTAACTTGTGTCAAAACGGATACCGAAGTATAATGTCAGACTGTCAGCAAAAGGTTTTAAACTACCGGTACTTTGACTGCACAGACTGAAATTTGAACCGAAAAAGAATGGTTGTACTAAGGTGAGAGAACAGTCTGAAATACATGTAATCTGAAAGAGAAATTTATTTGGAAGCTTGGAGTGAAGTATGTGTTGTAGTACATCATATGGCATAAGTTGTTAAAACTCACCTGTTCACTCGCACAAGCGCATAGAGACTTAATTGTATTATGCGCTATATAAGAACTGTTTATTATTATTATTATTATTATAAGTTACTTTTACCAGTACGTGTAGGATTTGTTTCATTTTAAGAAAACTCGCCTTTCCAGCTGGCAATGGCCAGATTATATATTTTTGTTCTGATTCATGGCTAGCTCTGAAGGAATTTGTGTTATCAAAATGATGAAAAAGGGAAGTTAAGTCAGAGAACCATGCATTCAGTTGACTTGACAACTGATGCTTGTGCAGCGGTATAGCAACAGCGACAATGTAGAGGGGTCGGAAATTGAAAAGAAACTAGTGCCCAATTGCACAAGTTTTCTACTTCATGTACATCGATGCCTAGGTCCATACACACTTTTCCATGTTAAACCGCTCTTGAAAATGGAGGGGGACATTCCTTAAATATTTTTTTTAACTTACCGTACCCTGTACATAAAAAAAAAAAAAGTTGCTAGGTAGACACAGTTAAAATTGTTATACACCGTACATGTTCATAGCACATTTGCACAGTACAACATTGAGAGTCACAGACATGTTGGACTTAGAAGTTGCATGTACCAGTATAATGTTATTTGCGATTCCATCCTTCATATTTTAACACATCCATAGTCTGACTGATCCCCTGTAAATCCCCATCCATCACATCCAATTATGATCAATAATGGCCTTGATGACAGAGCCCCCAGATCCCAGAAATGTGATCACAGCTCACCCCATCCAACATCCACAAACAAAGATGTAAATTATTGGCTCGCACATGGGTGTTCATGTCTCATAAGTGTCATCTGGCCAAGAGGCCTAAGGAGGACTCCCATGTTCTGTCCCATCATCAACTGTCAAACGTTGAGAATTTCAGCACGTACTCAGATCATGCAGTCTGCTTACTTTACTGCTAGCGATTCAGCTGATGCGCCTGTGAAGGTTGTAAATTACAACTTCTTCATGCGTCAATCCCTTTTTTATCTTACGGTATAAATGTCACTGCTACGTGCATCAGCTCTTGTTTCATTTGCTCCTACCTAGCATTTGGATGGTCAGAATTTCCGTTTTATTTTTAGTAATACCGAAAACACATCCCATGCCTAAACAGCGAATTGATTTAAAGCTTGGAATAGATTGTAAAGTGTGTGCAAATTTACAAGTCTGCCCATAATTTCACTGTTTATTTTGTACTTTTCCGTAATCGACCACTGTCCACGGAAATCGGGGATTGAGAAAATATCTGGTCAATAGGCCAGAAGAGTTTTGATAAGGAACAGCCATCCATGATCCCACGAAGAGAGTGCACCTCAAGCATCCCCAAACCTGAAAACCAAGAGTTATTTTGACACTTAACAATGCGTTGCTGCCTATGGGTATTTTAAACCCACAATTGTACAGCCACCACAAATCAATAAGGATTAGGCCTCCCTGAAAAGAAAAAAAATACCCAAAACAGCTAGGAATGCCTCCCAATGTGACCCAGAAACTTAAGTTCCTGGCAGCTTTGTAGACGGTTCTCACACCCATTGAAAACTCGATTGTCGATCCCTTCTCGTATTTCCATGACTCAACGGGATTTCAAAATTGGTACCCCGCTAGGGTTGTCAGAAATGCCAAAAGATATCACCCCAGATCGGAGACAAACATTCCATAATTTTGTCCCAGAAGTTGGTGGGTTGGTGTCGGTTTTAATATGATGACACCATTCTCAGGCCCCGTATTTTCCTTCGGATAATCCAATTTCAGGCGCGACCCATAACAGTTGAAAAGTTTGCGCTGTCAGTTCCGTGGGGAATTTGTCCATAATTTGTGCTCACAAAAAATATGTTTGACCCAGCTTTTTGGGCACCCAGTGGTAAGTTGAAAGAAAAGTATGTGTCAATGTGTGTGGGACTGATCTTGTTTCTAAGAGTATGAGTCAATCTTTTCCTTGGGGATAACGTTTTAAGGTCGTGGAGGTTGTTTACTGGCAGGAAGGAAGGAGGCAGACTGGACGAAAGCTGGAGACACAAACGTGGACGTCATGGGAGAAAGAAAAAATGATTTCCCATAAAGGCTAATATGAAAGGAGTAAAGTTAAGGATAGGGGTATGACAAAACAAAATTGTGTAAAACTGGTGTGCTCACTTCAGATGTAATTCAGGCACAAATGTCATAAAGAAGTGTACATAAAATATATGTAAATTGTTTCTGCATGGACTGCCTTTCTTTTCCAAATTTTGACGAGTTTAATTTTATAGGTTGTCTCTAGTTGAAAAAAAAATGGTAGGGGAGAAAATATATAAAAATCCAGAAGATGCAACAAATATATTCATTTTACAATATGCTGTGTGCTCAAAAATTATAATTTTTAACCTCTTTTTTTGGTTGGACTTTGAACTTTGAACCAAGGGCAACAAAATGACTACCATGAATTCCAGGTAATCTCATCTGACAAATTTTACAAAATTTGCAGCATGTCTGTCACACTGCGGTTTCACTGTTCACATTAACACTGTGGTTAATCATTTTCATTCTTGCTGTACCGGTAAATGTTTTACTAGTTGTCAAAAGGGCGTGAGTCATTTTTTTCACAAAATTGCCAATCTGATCAGTGGTGGGTCTACAGTGTACTTAGACAGTGAAGCAATGAAACAGTATGCCTTAGTACCAGTATAGTATGTATTGGGTTGTAAAGCCAATTGGCATGTGGGCATTGATACTGCTACAGGATGTACACAATTTGTAAATGTACTACATTTGCTTGCAGGTACACGTAAATTTATACATTTGTATACATGTATAATTTGATTACAGTGTGCACAAAGTAAATTTAAAGGAATATTTTATGTAAATTTTGTACTGAAAGCAAGTGTCTGTGTGGGTGGAATTCAGTTGGACTTGGAGTCTAAATTTACAATTTTCATAGAAAATGTAGAAAATAATGAAGTGGGATTGAAATGGATTTGTCATTTCTAAAAACAAAATTAAAAGGAGACTTTTTCCCAGCCAGCAGTAACATGTACTCAAAGTGTAACAACTTTATCCACACCATACAGTGGTTGTGTGTGCTACAAATGAGTCTCATGAACATTGTATGCATTGCATTATGTGCATGTACAAATGTTTGTATGTTTTTAGATACATACCGGTTTTTAACTGGACATTTGTACCATGGAGCTATGTGTTTATATACAAATGTATATAGCCCTTGTAAACTATATTTTTACGGTTTTATTGCCTACCTCCATTGTGTCCATGTCATTTCGGAGGAGGTCTGTTTTTTAGTTTTTCAGTTTCATCTCCCGCTATAACACAAAAGGTTGTACATGTATTTCATCACACAAAAGATTTTCTTTTGTGATCTGTTAATGGGATTATCATCCCAATTACCCCTCCATTGGAATGGAACCTCCCGGCCTTTGACAGTAATGTGTGTACAGTCATAATGCCCTGATGTTATTATAGGCTAGTTCATGCCCCTGAAAGGTGATATTTCAGAGTCGTGTGCATAGCACAGAAGGACATTTCATACAAGTAGTACGTACAACATGTACGTGTAGCTAACACGCTTTGGGTTCTGTGGGTACGGCACGCATTTCTGCTATTTGTCATTTCATATCAGTCTTGCTCTAGCGGCAGTTTACATTGTAATTTACCAAGGGAGTGTAAAGTGCGTGGAGAAAAATTAACTGGAGCTGTTTTCCGAGTTGTCGTTGGATCTGTGTACATCCGTGCAGTATTTTTAAGTGTGTGCTGGTTCCAAAATTGGATCATGCAGTACTTAGTATTCTTGCTCTGTGGATAGACACTAAATTTGTGTGAGTACCGTATATGTTAGTTCAGTGGTTTGTATATTATTAAATGCTTCTCTGTCCAAGGCATTTTTATTGTGAATCTTGCTGAATCCTACAAAATCCATGTACATGACAATGTAGGAACCCGGTGGAATTTTTGTCCAAGGGGCACAGAAAAAGTTGCTATGGTTGTAGCTTCCTCAATCCTGCAAAACCCTTTAAACAACACTCCTGCTTGATTTTGAATGATGTGGCAAGTTCGGCCTTGCAATAAATTTAAGCCATTTTACAAATATTGTTCAAGTTGTATACATCTATTGTATTGTAAGTGATATATGTTCGCACATTATTGTTATTCGTACGAGTAGAATTTAACTGATAACATTTTTTTTCAGCATATCAGTCCCAAATGGATTTGATCCAGATTTCGTTGAAAGACTAAAAAAAAATTTCTCAATGAAATTGAAGCTTTAGGCCTACATCAATTAATCTGTATTGCAATATTCTGAACACTACTCTCTCTGTTTTCGATTTCCCCTTGGCCCTTCAGAATTGGCTCATCAAGTATTGATTTCGTCTGACGAAAGCCGGGCACGTACATGTTGTATACGGAGTTCAAATTGCGGGATCTACATGTAGTACGGTACTGCACACTGCATTAGACTTGACTGATTCATTCTGTACAGACTGTAGTATTGAACCCACGCACACGTGTTGCATGGGCCTGCTTTATGGATCAGAACTTATTGTTCCCTCCTAAAACCGTAGCTTTGACTGAAGAGAAAACTCCCCCATCGCCTTTTGTCGTTCAGTGAACCTGCAGTGCAGCTACAAAAGCCCTGCCTGAGAAGAGAGAACTTGGACCACAGAACGAGAATTCTGAATTGCACCTGTGTTAACCAGTGGTGAGTACACAAATTAGTTTGTGGTTTAATATTACAGCATATCGGGTCACTTTTAGTCATCTTTCTGTATTCTTTTTATTTGTGTAATACAAAGTGCGAATGCTGGGAAATGGTGGAAAATTACAATTAAATACCACCAGCCCTTTCCTACAGGGTGTGATCTGTCCTGTCCGTACAGAATTTACAGAGTTAAAAACAAAAATAACTTTCGAGAGTCGGTTGTCAAATTGCCAATTTGCTGGTTACAAAAAAAAAGGAATATTGTGGAAAATTGTATAAACATGTGCACTGAATAAGTTAGGAATATATAAAAAAAAAAAACCAGACAGGTCTGTGTTTGATTTCTGTAGACCATGACATTGGCCTTGATCGACAGATTTGGTGATATCATTTTTTTCAGAACCAATGCTGGTAGTCTGTACATGTAAATTTAGTGTGACATTTTCATCTTAGTCTCTACACGTACCGGTATGCAGAAGGGAACATTTTGTAAACTTCCGGTACAATGTACATGTACATGTATGATGAACACATTCAACGTTAAAGGGAATATACAACATTTGCAAACATCGAAAAATAAAACTACCAAGTTTTTGCGAAATACCTTAATAGGATGTTGGTAAATGACAGTCTAAAGCATCCTGTAAAATTATGGCACCTGGTATACTGTCATTTTCAAGAAAAGTGGTATTTTTGTATCAATTTCCAACGCTGATCGGCCGATCAGCGTTGGAAACAACTGGCTTTTTTTTCAAATACTGGCCCCAATTGACCATTGCACTTGTTTGCAATCGATTACAAACCTATGAACGGGTACGAGCCAGCTAGACTGGTTCCCTGACCTTACAATTCCCAAATGTATGTAAACTGCTCTGTTTCTTCTTATATGGAGTCAGGGAACCAGACTACAGGAAAATGATCGTTTTTCTTGGTTTTTATAGCATTTTCGAACCCAAAACCTCCAAAAAGTCAGTGTAACTATATTTGCTTTATATTTCCAACCCCCCAATTCCATCCATTTCTGAAAATTACAGCAAAAGCAAATGATGTATATTCCCTTTAAAGTGACTCATTCATGACGGTCCTGATAACTGTTGGTGTTCCCCTACGTGTGTTGTTTTAGCTGTGAACCATGACCCTTGCTTTTGAACACCCATTTCTCAGTGAGTGACCTGCGGGTCATTACAGTCATGGTCAAAGAATTTGTTACACAAAAGCTGGTAAATCCTTGCAGTATTGTTGCAGGTATATATATGTTCAACTGTATACATGTGCAGGTATGTTTGCAAGCTCACCCAAAAGGACCAAAATTACAATGTTTGTTGTACATTTATTGAACATCGTGTATGTATAATGTACATGTATGTACTGTACATGTACATGGTGACTTTACGTGAAAAAACAAATACCCAAATGACAAGACCATTTTCTCAATAAACTTCTGCGTGTACATCATGTACATTTGTATGTAGCATATGAAAGCCCAATTAATAAACTTTCTTTTAGTGCAAGAATTATTCAAATCACTCATAATGCACGTTTCTTACGGAATTTTAAACACAACTACCGTTTTAAAGTTCTGTCCATGGATCACAAAAAGGTGTACACGTACATGTACCGGTATTCTTTTAATAGCAAAACGAAAACAATTCACACACATTTGCAAAAAAAAAGTACAGAAATTGTTCTTTGCAGCAGGGAGAGGATAAGAATTTATAAAATTATTTTCTATTCAACCGTATCATTTTTTGAAGTTCCTACACTTGTATACATACAAACTTGAAAAACAAAATGAGTTTAATGTCTTTCACCTTCTTACAATGTACACATGTATATACTGGTAGTTTTAATTTTGCAATGCGTGTCGTAACCTTGCTTTTTAACAGTGACCTTAACACTATCCCTGGGTGTGTGTCATTGACAATGTTTTATTTTTTTACGGAACATTAATGTATCAAAGATAATAAAGGTACCGGTACTTTGAACAATTGAAAAAATGTTGTTAAAACAATTTCTGCTGGTTCCTTCATGTATATATACTGAAGTTTATGTGTAAAAATAACGCAGCAGTCAACACTACTCAATCTCCAAACTGCCATCTAAATAAATTACTTGTCATATTTGGCATGTCACCAACACTTCATCATCCTCATATTACAGTCTAGCGTTTCCTCACCACCGGTTCCCCTATGGTGGGAATCAATGTTATCACCGGTATCCCGCGCTACGGACAGTCTGTAATCCTAGCAATCGAGAGTAAATTGAAACCAATTATTTCCAGCATCCTTCTGCCAATTAAGGAGATTTGAAACGCATAGAGCCGGACAAAAAAAAAATTGAAAATGTAATTTTGGAATCGATCTGGTCTGGGGTAGTGAAAGATGTTATCCCTTGGCAGGTTAACAATTATCTCTATCATATCGCAGTTTTGAGGCAAGTGTCTCCAGTACATGTAGGTTGTGACTAGATAGATGTGGAAAGGGTAAAAGGTTCTTTACAAACCTGTACATATTGTAGTCTGTAGATCTGACTTGCAAACTTAGCTAATACAATCCCATCCTTTGTTGTTAAAACTCATTTTGCAAATTTATAAACATTTTTGGCCTTTTCTTTAGACAAAGTACTGTACAATGTACGGAAGTTGAAATGTTTAACATGTGTAATGCAGTAGGCCTACAGTTATCTTCATTGGGGGGGGGGGGGGGGGTTAGTAACTAGTATTGGAAGGTTTGAATCCTGGTCTCCCCCCCCCCCCCCCCATGGCTGCGTGTATCACATGCCATTGCTCTAGGACTTGATGTACTGGTATGCACGTGTATGTACATGTGGTATTGCCTACACTTCCATTGCAAAAAGTAAGGATCGGTTGTTTTGTTTCCGTCCATGAAGGAAGTGATTTGGTAGCAATCGAGGAAGATGACTTCAAATACAGGAAATTATCAGATGACTTATAAGCACAGCCTAACAGATTTCAGGTTACATGCAGACATCGTACATAAAAAATATGTGGCAAATTTCAGAAGAAAAAAAACCGTAACATTTGTTAGCATGTTGTAACAACTGCCTCGATGGTTGCTGAAAAAAATTTCAGAACTGCATACATTGAAACTGTTCATCAGGATTCAGAAAATATTCTCCATCACCTCCCCCCTCCTTCGGTTTAGAATGTACCTTGGTACCGTACACTCAGTTGTGCAGAATTACAAACGGCGTGATTAAAAGTAAAATGATTAATATTACTTTATAGACCTGCACAGCAAGCTGGAAGCATCATTTCAGGTCGTCAGTTGTTGTTTGTCGTAAATTGGTGTCCCTGTGTCTGATTTACGACAATCTGGGATCTTCATCTTGAAAGAAAAGGTCAATTTTCTTCACTGGATGCATGGCATGCTTTGGGATTCTTCCTTAGCGCAAGATATATTGGAGAAACTACCTTCAGGCTTGGGATACACATTTTATTCCGTGCACACACAGGAAGGGCAGACCATGTTTGCAGGGGATAGTTAATGAATAATATTGGCAGTGCGACAGTACTTGAGGCCTTTGATAATTTTAGAAGATTGATTTGTTTTGTACGTGCAATGACCCCGAGATATATTTTTACGTATAGTTTCTTTTCCCTTTTACGTATCCTAAGCATGAACTGCACTTTGTTTGTAGCTTGAGAACTTTTGAACCAGTTTTTTTATTACCCTATGTTTGATGGTCCCAAAGTTTGATAGTAGTTAGGATGTGTTTATGCAAGATGGCTCGCCGCAAATTGTTTAAAATTTGGCAAATACATGTATGTAGGTTCCATAGAAAAATTCCCCAGTAAAAGTTAGAAAATGATTGCATTTTAGTCTTGAAGACAGAGAGATAGCAACAAAAGTAACTGAAGCAATTTAGTTAGACCTAAAATGTTGAGAATACAGATTGATTTTGAGCTCAATGTACACATGTTTGATTGATTCCAAAATTAGGCTGATGAAATTTGTACTATATTTTTTGGCATCTGTTTGATACATGTATTTTCCAACTTTCACAACACAATACCCACACAAATTTTAAAGCCTAGATTTTTTTGACCGAAAGCTTATTAATCAGCAACCAAAAAGGTGTCGGCCAATATTACTGCCCGAAAACTGTGTGAAATCGGATCGAGGCTTGCACCATGAGTAATGCAATCACTTGTGAGAACGTTCCAGCTTCACGGAATGTCGTCTGTGATTGTTTGTGATCGTAAAACCTCGCTCTAAAATAAGGAAACCGATCCAGGAAGTCCGCAGGACCACGTAAAAAAAAAAAATGTAATTTCCCCTGAGCGAAAGGTCGTAATTAAGCGCAAGTCGGAACCAGATATGGTCCTGTGGTGTCTTAGGTCCAGGGGTCCGGGGGTTAAGAAAGCAAATTGTGAAACTTTAGAGATGCCACGAAGGTGACTAGTTTCGTGTATGGTTAGCCAGTATCCTTGGACACGCCCCTTTGGCATCAGGCACCTGGTGGGTACCAGCGGGAGCTTGTTGCTCATCTGGAAGGCTTTTTTCTTTTCTTCCTTGGGACTTGGAGGGAGGAGAAGGGTCAGGAGAAAACATGGACCTGCTGATGACCTTGTTGTTAGTTGTTACTCCCAGGAGGCATTTGTGTTTGAGTTGAAATTATGTTACATAAATGTACATGTAGGCATACACCACTATGAACAGAGAATACAAATTTAAGGAATTGAGAAACACAAAAAAAAAATTTGGATCGCCATAAGGGAACATCTTAGTTACTAATTTCGTTCAAGATAAATAATTTAAAAAAAGGATGAAAAGATAAAATAATGGGATTTACAAAAAAAAAAAAAAATTCACCCGTGTTTCGTTACTGAAAAAAACACTTTTCAAACTATTTGTAGAAAAAAATCCACACCCTCACCAAAATGTCAGCTCTAGAGACAAGAATCGTAAAAAAACATAATAAAATAAAAAAAATAATAAAATAAAAAAAATCAAAAGATGTAAAGAATATAAAATTTA